TACCTTTCCAGCTCGGAACAAATCCAAAGTAAATCTCTGAACTGCTGGACTCAGAGCATCTTTTGATGTACTCCCTCCAGTCAAGTAAGAAATTGAAAAACAAGAGAAGTTAACAATTCCTCTCATAAACCTTTCGACGGCTTTAGCTGTTATAATTCTGTCTACGAAAATTAGGCAAAGCACTTCATTTGATGACCTGTAGAGAAAACACATGGCTGTATTATTTTTGGCCAACAAAAGACCAAAAGTAGGTGAAACTAAACATCTTGAGTAGAATACTAGGGTATTACCCAAACGATTTGAAGATGTTGATTAGCGTATTCACTTTTGAAGAAATGTATCCCCTTTTAGTTAATTCCTCAGAACCAGATTCTGATTTCATTAGTTCACCATATCCTGTCATGCAATTGCATCAGCAGAATTAGAGAAGGCAACTATCAATGCACGAAAGTAGAAAAAGGAACACATACAGAGAAACAATAGCTGTGGCACAGAGACTACCAACTGCAATCTAAGTGGCTATAGAGGTTAGAGTCAATCTCCTCTGTCTTTTTGGTTGAGTGCTTCTAACTACCTACTGGAAACTGCTTCAAAGCTCACTTCTTTTTTGCCAAACCGGCAGAAGCCCGCTGACCAGATCTTATCATAAGGGGCAAAGATTAACGTCAAAGGTGATAGCCCTCTCAGCTAGCAGCCAACTCCACAAATTAGCTAGCAGCACCCAGCGAACTACATCAACTTCATAGTTCACTTCTATAGAGCATGCAAATTAGGAGGGTGTGTAGAAGCATGTGTTTCTCTTCTTATTCTGAGAATAACGTACAAAAAACAGACAACTAAACTAATAAGATTCAGGGAATCTTTTACTGGAGGGCATAAGCTAAACAGAAAGAACATAATGCAATCCTAGTTGGATTTGCAAATTGTGTCATTACCTAATCCATACAGATAAAAGAAAGATACTCACTGCATCATTTTTGCTTATGCAGTTAATTCAAGATAACAACTAAAGGGTGCACTATACCTTGTGGAAGAATTTCCTCTATTAGACTTAAAGCTTCTTTAAAATAAGACATATGTAAGCACAAGCTAGCTTTAGAAAAAATGCAGTCTTCAGAATCACATAATGGCTTAACGCTTTCAATATGTATTTTGACTACCTGTTAAGAAAACAATTTAAGTTAGTATAAGCATTTTACACTATACTTGAAGTCCTTATGGATAACAGGTTTTTTAGTACCAATACACCGTTTCCACTTCCAGAAAAGAACAAAGCACTCTTTCATAACAGAAGACAAACAGTTGCAGCACACGTGATGTTACGGAAAAATAATGGCAAAGATACTATAGCTGTCACAGGCAAGGTCATGCAAAGCAGCTTATGTTCTTAGGTACTTGAACTTGTGCCAATCTTTACTAGTTAAAGTGAATGGTTCCTATGAAAAGAATTCACCAAATATTCTTTTGATTTATCAGTTCGGCATGCGCAATATTTTATATATTTGCAAAAAGGTTAAAAATCATTTCAATAAGACTGGAATTTATGTAGGTATAACTAGTAAACAAACAAGGCCGATATGAAATGTCAAAGTTATGTGACTCTTCAGAAAAGTTTTCTTTACATAGAACTGATTATATAATACTGATTGGATAATGCAATACCTCAGAGGTGATAATTGGACCAAGATCGTTTAGGCTGTACAATATTTTCCCATGGTATCTGGACAAGCTCTTTCTTGAAGTCTCTAGGATATTATCGGTGTCTTTAAATTTATTAGATGGCGATTCTTGAAGACCAACCAACAAAGAATCAAACTGCCCAACAGTACAAAATTTAAACAAATATACATGCAAAAAGAAAGTTACAGGGAGCTGTAGGTTTTGGTACTCCAAATTATATATGTATTTTAATAATAAGCTCAAATGTATTTCAGTTAAATCACCTCATCAGAAAATATCTGAAGCTTTGATTTCAGATTATCAAAATCAACCATGTAAGCATCATAGTATTTGTTCACAATTGTTGTAGGAGGGGAAAAGCTCTCAAGCTCATTTCGATCTTCTACGATGTATATCTGCAATAGCATGTAACATATGACAGGCTATTTGTTACTGGAAAGTTGTTTTCTTAAAATTCAATAAATCCAAAGCTTGTCAGCTTGAGATAACCTTGGCATCCAAGGTTAGTTCTAGTTGAGAAATGTGTGCTTCACAATTGTGTAGTGTGGAAGCACCTGAAAAAATGGAGGGTTGTAATAGATTATGAGCCAGCAAATCCGAACAATATTAGAAATTCATAATTTCAATGAAATTATTCTACAACAGGAAACTGTTTCAATTTAATGAACTGATTGAATGTGCTCTCCAGTAATATGAGTAGAAGCATTGAATAGATTAAATTGGGACAACCTTTTCTTTAAAAAAATATACATGAGTATGTGTATCATTTCATTAAGAAGGAATAAAAACGGGGAAGAGACTAGAATGCCTTTCTCCCCAAAAACACCTACGAAAAAACTACTTACAAAACAAAAGGCTCACACGACCTAACCTTACCCAACCAGGGTAAGCGACCCTCTAAGGAACTCGCCTTTTAGTGGACAACTAAGTCAAACACGCAAACTGTGATGCCCAATCATCAAAATTTGAAATAGGATGCAATCTACAGTTGGCAGGCAGAGAGGTATTCCATGTAGAATTATGAAGCAAGAGAAAGAATCATACTTCCAGAAATGTATTGTCTTGTTATGAAGAAGGCAAAAGCACTCAAATACATCACATGAGTTTTTGACAGTACATGGCAGTTGGGGCATTCTTCAAAAAGGAAGATAATAACAGTCACACGACATGCTTATTTTAATAACAAAGCTAAAACACATTTTCTGAAACTATTGATCAATGAAATATACACAGGGTTAAAAGCACGTGACTATTTTCGTTACAAAAAAGCACATGATTGTCGTGTGTAGAATTCTTGCCTTTAGTAGCAACGGGGGAGGCTGTCATTCCAAATACATCTGGCCTCCACTGAGACCCAAAATAAAATTCCTTTGGAACTCAAGAGAGACATAAAACAAAAGCAAATTTGCCATGTCAGATTATTAAAACAAATACTGTTATCCTAAGCAACTTTCTGTAATAACAAAAACTGCAAGCCAAAGCTTATCTACCAATGTTGTCAAAGCAAAAGACAGATCCCCAAATTTCTATTACCTTCATTATTCGTGCATATGGATGGCTTCCACAAGCACGATGACATTCATCAAATATTAGCAAGCTCACTGCACTCATTGTCAGAAAAGCATGCCGCAGAGCATCCAACAGTATCTGTGGCGTCATAACAACGATCTGAAACACAAAAGGCATGCATCGCTCAAATGTCAGCGTAAACACGTATTTCCGATCCAAGTTAGCAATGGCATGCGTAAGCCCAATTCAGTAGCTGTAATTAAGTCCGATAGGTACTAACATAGCAAGGATCTAAGAAATTGAACCCCAAAGTTACAGAACTTCAGCTACTTTGAACAAAGTGGCGTAGGACTGCAATATCCCTCAGATTCAGACCAGCATCTCAATCTAGGAAATGACAACACATGAAAGAAAATTCATCTTGAACCAGAGTGCTAAATCAGCTAGTATTTCATATGCACGCCCCTTCAGAAAACATCAAGTTGATGACTCTCAAATTTATTAATGGGTAGGCTGGTAGCAACCTCAGCCTGCATCTGGCTTCAGTTGGTGGGCACGCCAAATGTGCCAATTCACAGTACATCGCAATCAAGCAAATCGCTGCCTCAAGCATAGCGCAGGAGCAGGTTCAGTAAACCCGGGCGCTTACCTCATTTCTCCCAACTTCCTCCTTCCAATGATCGGCGCCCCATTCGCCAACCCGCGATGCTCCAGAGCACATCATCACGTCGAGGTCAGTGTACTCACGAATCACCTCGAATTGCTACAGCACAAATGCAGAGCAACCAGCTCCCGATCAGAACACATCGTCCACACTCCATTTGTTCACATGTTGATGAAAAAAAAAAAGAAAAAGCAACCTGATGGACGAGGTGCACGGTGGGCGCGAGGAACACCACGATCCGCCGCGGCGCCTCCCCGGCGCGCACCCGGCGTGCGTGCTCGCGCGCGAGCATGACGGCGACCATGGTCTTCCCGGACCCCGTGTCGAGCACCGCGATGGTGTTCCCCCGCAGCGCCGCCTCGAACACCTCCACCTGGTACCTGCACGCACGCACGCACGCAGGCGGCGCCAACGAGGAGAGCAGCCAACATCAGCTAAGCTGCACTGACCAACTGGCTAGTGCGAGGGGTGGTATCAGCAGTCGGTCGAGACCCCCTCGGGCGGAGCTGCCTGTGGGGGCGGCAAGGCGGCGGCAGCGGAGGCGGGGGCGGGAGGACGGCAGCCTCGTCGTCGGCCATGGCGGCGGCGGCGGCGTTGGGAGGGTTCGGTGGTGGGGAGGCGCATGACGAGGTGGGTATAAATCGGCGGCGTGGCGGAGGTGAGTGGGAGAAGGCGAAGTGCGTGAGGCGGCGGTGAGAGGAGGCGGAGGAGAGTTGGTTGGCGCGGTGGAGGGCAGCGGCGGCCGTTGCAGAGATGTGAGGCGAGAGGCCGACATGTGGGCCCGTCATGTCAGAGGGCCGTTGCAGATCTTCTTCTCCCTGCTTTGGCTGGCCTGGTATACTGAAACTTTTCGCATGCAATATCATGCATTCATGCCCATTTGATGAATGAATCTCTCTATAGCATTTATATTCTTTTTTTTTTGTCTTTTCTAGAGAAGAAAAACTTGTTTGAAATTTTTTAGAGATTGTTTGCATTTCACTACGATGAACTGACAAAAATAACTGTCAGGTTGTTCTCTGAAAAGAACACAGATTGTAGGTGGAGTACATGTAATTGCAATGGCAACTGGCAAGCAACACAGTGGGAAAAGAGATTATAATTGAGCCACCAAGGCCAAAAAAGTAAAGAACAAAAACAAATCTCATTTGGAAGGTAAATAATGACGATACTTTTCTATATCAGCGAAGTTCTCACACATACAACATATATAGCCGCCTTTCGATCCCTACATTTATCTGCATTTGTGTACAAAAGAATACCCTCAGTATCCAAGGCTCTGTGTCATCTATAACTTAACTGAAGAAACTGATGCTGCTACTCGTTGCAACATCTCCAATATAACAAGGGAACCATAAAACAGAAGCTAATCTCTGAACCATCTCTGTGTTTGATCTTCCTGAGTTGTGCTCCAGCCACCCAGGAAGAAGTAACCAAGGTCCACAAGGTCCTCTGCTCTGCTTCCAACTCTCAGAAGAGCTGTTGTCAACCGAAGCTCCTCCGGGGGGTGCTTACAGGGCCTTGCTTTAGAACAGGAGTTGTGCAAAACCAAGAGACTATAAGCTACTAATCTCGAGCCGCCTTGTTTCTCCAAGCAGCGATTGGCTTTGGAATGTTGTCAAAAAGAGGGAGGGGAAGAGGGAGAGTGAAAGCGTCTGGTTTTAAGGTCCACTTGCTTGTCGACCATATGGAGGAACTGGTGCTGCTGCTGTTGCTCTCTGGCTCTTGGAACTCCGGAGTGCTCGACGATTTCCTTACAGCATGCAACCCATCACCGAAAGAAGGCTCCGCCAATGCAATGAGATTCTGCTGGCTCTTGTTCAAATCTTGTCGACTGCCCGACTTAGGCCTCAACGCCAGGCCTTTCCCAGCCCTTGCTAGGACAGCACTACTACCATTTTCTTCCCTAGGTAACAACTCACCATCAGCTTTCTGGCGTCGCCTTATCAACTTTTCGCTGTCGCCATTCTCCTCAGTCTCGCCATTCAGAAGAGAAGAACCTATTGCAAGACTTCTAGTTTTCCTATGTTGAAAAGGGAATGGGTCGGAATCTGGCGGCTCTCCAAACCATGGGTCATCATCCAAGAAAACAGATTTTCCTTTTCTATATACTGCCATTTCTGTGCCTTCATGTGTCGTATCCTTCTTTGGAGGTGGTGTGAGACCATAGTACCCCTGCAGAAGGCTCATGGCTGGTGAAGCCTTGTGCTTTGGTGTTCTCAAAACTGAATCCAATATATCATCATGAAGGCGACGTGGAGGAGTACATTCCCTGAAATAATATCATATTGTTATAACTGATAATGCATATAAGAGCTAGAGAAATGTCTGCTTATCCAAGAGCAACCATAGCAGGTAATTAGCCTATAGTATGGTACAAATGTTATTTTATCGACTTGGGAGGGCCATATGGCCCAGTGTGGCCTAAATAAGGCTCTCCCCCTGAGCACAAGATGATTAGGACCTAGTTGCAGGTTTGGCTGAAATGTGTTCTCTTTACCATATTCTCTACATTTTAATGCTCTTCATTCATTCCTGCCCTAGCTTATCTTATGTTCTGAGCTATAACTATGGTCACTCAATGGATGTTATACAGGAAATAATAGCGGAAGGTGAACAATCGCAAAAGAACAAACAGAGAACATACTATTAGCCATGTATTTGGAGCCCAAAGCCAAAATCCCAAGTCATATAACCACCTAATTAATTAACTGCCCTCTGCACATCATAGAGAGAAATTGGCTACAGACAAATTCATAACTACCAAACTCCATGTAAATCTATAAAAGATATAGCACTGTGCTGTGACGCGCCAATGCTGATAAGTGAGGACAACTCCACAACGGACAATGCTAAGTCCAGCATTTTGCTGGCGATGGGAGCAAAGTGATGTCATGATTTTTAACTACCTGTCATCACCCTCATATGAACCGTTCTGCTGGTAAGTCGACGGAGGATGCCTCCCGGGGAGCGGAATCCGCAGCGTCTTGTGCGCAAACATCTGGAGGTCAGTTGATAGGCCATTCAGCCTCTTGATGTCCGCTACCTACAACACCACCACAAAAACAATGCGCAAACCATTCCAAAATCATTTCCCAATCAATATAGAGCTAAACGGCATACTACTACCTAAAACAGCTAGAAGTTAAGGACTGTTATTTTATATCTTCTCTAATGGAGTATTCCAATATGGAGCAGTGAAAAAAAAAGGCCCTAAAAAAAATTCAGTGTACTCCCGTCGCATTACCTCGACGCCGTACTTGATAGCGATCCCGGCGAGGGTGTCGAGCTTGCCCACCCGGTGGAGCATGTACTGCCCGCACGACGACATCGGCGGCGCCGTGGACGACGAGGGGGACCCGGACTGCTCGGCGGCTATGGTGATGGCCACGTCGGCGGCGGCGGCGAAGGCGGCCGCCTCCTCGATCTCGCCGGGGCGGCGGGCCACGCCGTCGAACAAGAACCCATTGGCGAAGGCGTGGTCGTCTTTGGGCAAATGGGGGCGGCTCATGACATGCGGAGGCGCCCCCGGGGAAGGGGTGGGAGATCTGGGAGCGGGCGGCGCCGATTCGGGGCGGGGCCGCCCCGGATTCGCCGTCCCCGGCGGCGGGTTCCGGTGGCCGCGTGGGCGGCGGGAGAGAGGCGGTGACGGAATCAGCGGAAGGAGAGAGAGAGGAGAAGGGGAGGAGAGAGAAAGAGGAGGAGGGGGGAGGGGAGAGAGAGAGAGAGCTCGCACGGTGGTGTTTGGTTTTGTTTGACGCGGCTCGGAGAAGAACGGACGCGAGAAACGTGGCGCAAGGGAGACTCTCGCTCGCGTCCACCTCCATCTCTCTCCCTCTTCTTCAAACTAGCTGTTGGTATTTTTAATATGATTTTACTTAAAATTTATTAATTTATTAAATAGTTATCTCGTTGTTTTGAGACTTTAAAGACCAAACCTTATCATCCCCTTGTTTCTAATTTTATAATTTTTAAAAATCACATCAATTGCTATCATTTACTTATGTCATATCCTTCTTTATTTGCTGGCTCGATCTACATGGTTTTTATTCATTCTCTTTGGAAACCTTTAAAAATTAGATCTTATACTTTTTAGAGTTTATTGTCCTCATGGGTTTCGTTTTTATAATTTCTAGAAGTCCCAACAAACACTGTCATTATACTCCTCTATGGCATCTCCATTGCCTCTTCTCTTTATTGTCATTGATATTTTCAAAATCGAACATAATTATTGTTAGGGTTCATTTTTTACTTTCTAGAAGTTCCGACAAAACGTCAGTGGTTTTGTTAGCATACTCCTCTACGGCTTGCCCACTGCCTTCCTTCTTTATTGTCATTGAGATTTTAAAATCAAACATGATTATCATTGGAGTTTATTTGTTTTTTACTTTTTAGAAGTGCGAACCTTTTAAAATTGAACCTTATAGTTTTTATAATTTATTGTCTCGTTGGATTTCGTTTTTGATAGTTTTTAGAAATCCCGTCAAATGTTGTCACTATACTCCTCTACGACCCGTCCACCCCCTACTCTTTATTATTATTGGGATTCTAAAAATCGAACATACACATCTTTGGAATTTATTTTTTACTTCCTAAAAGTCCCACCAACAATCGGCGGCGCTAGCATTATACTCTTGTACGACCCGCCCGCTGTCTCTCCTTTTTGTTGTCATTAAGATTTTAAAAATCAAATTGATTATTATTAGGGTTTATTTTTTTTAATTTCTAGAAGTCCTACCAACCGCCTTGACCGGTTGCTTCACGACCTGCCCGTCATCCTTCCTTTTAATCGTCATTAGGATTCTATCTGGTGTTTTATTAATAGTTTTTAGATGTTCCATCAACCGCCGCCACTCTACTCCTTTATAGGCCTTTTACTTAATTAATCTCCTCATGTGTTTGAGATGGTCTTTTCTTTCAATAGTTTTTATTTTTTATCACCAATTTAGTTATTTATAAAATTATTTATAAATTATATTTCTAGTTGAAATCTTTTTTTTCTTTTTCTAATTTCAGATTTTATTTTATTTTTTATTTCGAATTTTAACTAATATATCGTATTGTGTTCTTTTAATTTATTTTTTATTTTCAATTTCAGTCGTTTCGAAATTGTATTCCTACTTGAACTCTCTTTTTTTAGTTTATCCAATTTTGGATTTTATTTTATTTTTCATTCTAAATTTTAATTAATCTCGTATTAGGTTTTTATATGGACTCTATTTCAAAATTGTATTCCTATTCGAACTATATTTTTTATTTTTCTAACAATTTTGGAATTTACTTTATTTTTTTATTTCAAATTTTAATTAATCTTGTATTGGTTCTTATATGGACTCTTCTTCTAAAATTTCTTATTTTTAATTCCGAATTTTAGTTATTTTAAAATTATATTCCTACTTGGACTCTCATTTTTTTCTCCGATTAATGTGGGAATTTCTAACCTCCACGGCGAACGTATGCCACCTTTCAAAGCTGATTTAATAATATGTTTTTCTAATTTCTTGTTTTATTTTATTTTTATTTTAAATTTTAATTAAGAAACGGGGTGATAGAATCATACACATCTAATCATATTCAATGGTGTTATTCTGATTTGATTTCCACAGTCAAGTTGTGTCACTTTGCAATTAGAATTATCATGTTGTTGTTAAATCCATACACACGTCGATTCGTATCTGACTCGGTCTGCCATTATAACCAATATGTCCGTCTCTAATTCACCTTACGTAAACAGACTATAATTTCTTAATTTTTTCTATGGACTCTTATTATATCTCAGCCGCTAAAATCTAAAGGGACCACAATATAACGGTCGTATTTTTTCTTTTTCTCCGATTAATGTGGAAATTTCTAACCTCTACAGCGAACGTGGTGTCTCCTTTTCGAGCTGTCTTAATACTATAATAGATAGATGTTTGGCAATAGATTTTATTTATTTCGATTTGTCAAGAATCTACGCAAATCCAGCTGAAATGAGGAGTACAAGGTAGTAGTAATATTTTATTTGAAAATTAGTAATATTATCATTGCTTAGCATTCAATTTCTTCTAAAATTGAATACCACCGATTCAATGGAACCAGTATGTTTCTCCGTTGGAAGAAAATAATTAAGTATGCCTATCTTTGAAACGCTAGAATTGTTCTATGTCTTTTTATTTTTCTCTAGTCCTAATTAAATAGAAGCATGAATTGCTTCTCATGTTTGCTCGATACATGTAGTCGACGGTTCATATTTTGTTCTTATGTGAACCTTTTTAGAAAAAAAAAATGATACTATACAGCAACATAACAATCTCATTAGCTATCTATTTCATTAGTTCTCTATTGTACGGTAGTACAGTAGGTGTCATACGAGCCAGTAACATATATGCTTCAGAATAAATGAGTCTATACGTTAGTTGTTATGGCAATGTGCATATGGTACAGAATATGCGTTCCCTCAATTGCGAATTTAGCTCCTGGGTAGGTTAGTGACAGCTCAGGCTTTGTCGATGTCGTCTCCACTACCGATAACCGTTGACACCTAACAAAACTAGTTAAATCACAAAAAACATTATTAGTTGCATGAACACTATGGTGTCGTTAGCTCCACCACTATTTATCCCCTTATCTGTACGGTAGAGGATATGTGTCCCTTATGACCTTATCCGTATGATGCGGTTCTTGGTTGGGCAGGAATACGGCCATGGTTCTTGGTTCCAGGAGCTCCTCCATGGAATACGGCCATGGTTCTTGGTTCCAGGAGCTCCTCCATGGAATACGGCCACCCAGCTTCCTCCTCCATGACGCTGACGTGGCATCCGAAGGTGAGGCACTAGGCAGTCATCGTTGATGAGCTCCGACTCCGAGCTCTCCATCTTCTCCCTCTCGATGAACCTCTCGTCCCCCCATGACTTGTTCACCGAGAAGTCGTTGGGGGTGGTGATGGTGTAGGACGGCTTCGGGCTTCGGCTGCCGGCGGCGGTTGAGGCAGAAGGTGTGGCCTGCACCACCACCGGCTCGGCGGTGGTGGCGGACTCGTCGCCGTCGTCGAGCGAGAGGTGGAAGGAGATGAAGTCGGTGTTGCTGGGAGACCGGGCCTCTCGGCGCGTAGCAGATGCGCCAGGCGCGGCAGGCCGCCGACGCGGAACGGGCGGGAGGAGATGGGCTGGCAGCTCCCATTAAATGGGCGTGGGCCGGTGGGACGGAGGCCGGTCGCCGGCGGCCTCGCCCTCCCCTCCCCCAGATCCGGCCGGAGGGGAAGCGGCGGGATGGGTGGCCGGCCGGCGGCGGGATGGGAGGCCGCTTGGTGAGTCGATTTTTTTTGTTTTTTTGATTTTTTTTTATTTGTGGTTTAGATGTTTTGCTCTGTGAATGAATCTATGGATCGATGTTAATGAATCTGTGATGTTATAAATGAGTATGTGACTCGATGTTGTCAATGAACCCGCGAATCAATATTGTGAACATATTTGTGATGTTGTGAATGAATATGTGAATGGATATTGTGAATGAATTTGTGATGAATATGTGAATCGTGCTGTGGAGTTGTGACGTGGATTTGGGGTTTGATTTGACGATATGCATACCACTCGATTCGGGAGAAAATAAAAAAGAAAGCTACCCTCTCTTTAGTTCCGGTTGATAACACCAACCAGGACTTAAATATCCCTCTTTTTACTCTTAGTTGGCGGGGCTAAAGATCGATCTTTAGTCCCGATTTTTTCACCCGGGACTAAGGTCTTCTTTGTTTAGGTTTAGGCTTATTGGCTTAGACTTTTAAGTCAGCTTATTGGTTTATATGATTTATAAGCTAGTGAATTTAATGTCCTAAGTTTAGTGGTGGAGTCATACATATATCTCATATAAGCCAAAAAAGCCTCTCCAACCTATCTTTTGACTTAATAGTGTAAGAGCGGCTTATGGCTTTAAAAAACCAAACGAAAAGGCTGCTTGTTTGTTTAGGCTTAGACTTTTTGGCTTATAAGTTGGCTTATAAGCCTAAACAAAGAGGACCTAAATATAGCGATCTTTAGTCCAAGTTTAAAAACCGAGACTACAGGGGGTTACAAACCGGGACTAAAAAGCAGTTCTCCACCTGTGCCTCCGTAACGCTGACATGGCATCCGAAGGAGGCAGTCGTCGTTGATGAGCTCTGACTCCGAGCTCTCCAGCTTCCCCCTCTCGTAGTCGTACCCCCGTCACCTGTTCACCGAGAAGTCGTTGGTGGTGGTGGTGATGGTGTAGGACGGCACCGGCTGCCGACGGCCGGCGGTCGAGGAGGCAGAAGGTGGCCTGCGCCACCACCGGCTCGGCGGTGGTGGCGGACTCGTCGCCGTTGTCGAGCGAGAGGTGGAAGGAGATGAAGTCGGTGTTGCTGGGAGACCGGCCTCTCGGCGCGGCGCGGATGCGCCAGGCGCGGCCGGCCGCCGACGCGGAACGGGCGGGAGGAGATGGGATGGGCTGGCAGCTGGCTCGCCTGCACGTTCAGGGTGCCGGAGTACCCGTCGATCCTGAGCAAGTGGCAGCCTCTCGCGGCGGAGGCCCCGGCCGCCGCGATCGGCGGGAGCGTCGCCGTCGGCGGCATGGTCGGTCGGTCGGCGCGAGCCACAACTTGCGGCTCTGGTCGGGTTTCCTTCCGTTTTGTAGTTGTTTTGCTCGTTAGTTTTACGGTTTCAGGAGCGTTTGGTCTCAGAAGAAAGAAAATCCTTTGCTAGCTCCGAACTTGCCAGCAACAATGAACTTTGTAGCTGTGAGTGGAAAGAATGGGAATACTTGCCCGGAAAAGGGCCCTGGTACACAAAGGCCTGGTTTAGTTGGGGAGAAATTTTAGATTTGGTTGTCACATTAAATATTTGAATATACGGACACGCATTTGATTAAATATAGTCTAATAACAAAATAAATTACAGATTTCAACAGAAAACTGCGAGACAAATTTATTAAGTATAATTAATCCGTCATTACTAAATGTTTACTGTAACACCACATTGTCAAATCATGATGCAATTAGACTTAAAAAATCCGTCTCACAATTTACACGCAAACTGTAATTTTTTTTTCTCCACATTTAATACTCCATGTATGTGTCCAAACATTTGATGTGATTGGTGAAAAGTTTTTTTTTTGGAAACTAAACAAGGCCAAAGTTCAACAAAATTCATGCTGAGTTATATATATACACACAGCAGTTATCCCCCCTGCTACTGGTTGGATTTACAAAACACGAAGTGCCCGTTATTACCACCGGTTGAATTATTTGATCACACTGGCCAAAACTGTTCCTACTTATATTTCACGTACAATTGTTCCTGTGTGATATGGCTCGAAAAAGCAACAGTTGAAACCCTGGAATAATTCTAGCTTTTCATTTTGGAGCTTTCAACCTACTTTTCTTTCTTACTAAACTATCTTGGACCTGGCCTCCAACTCCAAACCGGGTTGGTGAGCTGAAAGGAAATGGAACAACGAGTTCACTCTTCATATCTTCCTTTGTGCGAGTTCTTTCCTTAAAAGTGGCATCTTCCAGTGAGATTGGAGATGCCGCCGCTCAAGTCCTCATTCCACTGGATTCTCTCCAAAGAAAAGGAATGTGATGTTGCGCAATTCTTCCCAACTGTATTTTTTAACGAAGACGATTATGTACATTCTGTTATGTACATCGACATGCAAGATTGTGGAATGGCCTGCTATAAAAAAGCAACAAATCCACTTTTTAGTTCTTGCTAAAGATCAGACTGATTGCAAAGCATTTTAGTATCTTACGAACAAAATTGCAGACATCACACAAAAAAACATGATGAAGCAGGCGTAAAGTAGGGTTGGAATAATAGCAGTTGCTAGCTGCTCAACAATAAACGAGATAAGTTAGTTATGTTCACCGCAGAAGAATCATGTATTCACGTATTTGAATGGCATTAAAATACTCCATGCATGATCATACTAACCAGTCAAGGAAACAGAGCAAGTCCTCGGTGCTCATACGAACATACAGCTAACTATAATAAGTAAAATGGGACAGAAAGTTATGGTTCAAACCGTCCAACTAACATGTGCCTGCTGGGCCCTCTCCCCTCTACATGTAGTATGACATGCAGTGCACCCATCCTAAATGCTTAATTCCAATATTCTTTGGTATATCAACATCAGTTTGCCAGAGCGTCTCAAGATCGAACCTAATCAGATTCCCGGCAACGACTATAGTAACTGGCTAATTTCAAAAGTCAGGAAAGACATGCAGAAAATACAACGCGGGACATGCTTCTCAACTCGCAACTTTCATGGGTCGGTCTATTCATGCTCACTGCTCATCCAAACCTAGCATAGAGCACACACTTTGTTCTCACTATATGTAGGCTAACAGAATCATGGTGGCCACATCAGGAGTAAAAAATGCTTCAATAGCATCCCAAAAAAGAGTAGTGTTCTTCTATTTGTTACTAGTGTCATACTATTTGTAACTAGTTTTGGCACCAATTCTGCATGCATAATTAAACATAGCAAGTGCAATATGGTGCGAGAATAGAACATATGAAGATTACTTCAGCACAATAACAGCTGGGCCACACAAAGACAAAATTCATTTACCTTCAACTGATTCTCTGAAACTAATCAGGAAGCTTCAACCGCCTAAAGAATTCAAAAAGATGAAAGTTTGATGTCCAGTAAAAGAAAGCTATCACAGGACCATCTCTGATGAACTGCAAATTCACAAACAAAACCTGTTAAAAAAAAGTATCTCGTGAATATACAAGGAAATGTGCATTATATGAATAGTTTTCAACCTTTCCATCTAGTATCAAAAGCTCGCCATCAACCCAACGAGGGTTTTGGAAACCTGGATCTGCAATTCTCCTTTCCCCTTTGTACCTAGCAACCTATATACAATATAGCAGTCAAGTTCACTATTGAAAAGAAAAAATAACTAAAACTACGAGAGAGAAAAAAGTACCACTCCAAGTTCTCTAGGGATGATTCCCTTATGTGGAAGCTGATAATGTTTGCCAACCTTTGCACGGAAGACAACCTGACATGGAGACTGTATAAGATAAACCTAAATTGTAGTGCTCACCAGAAAAACAGGATATCAATATTTAGGCTGCACCAACTAGTCACGATTTGTAAACTTGAAATAGCCACCTCAAGACACAACAAACACAAAAGGAGATGTGCTTCCATGGTTCTGCAAATAGCATGTTGCACAGCACCAAACAAGGATGGATAGGACCTACTTACCCCTTGTTGGTGCTTTAGGATATGTGCAAGTGCTTGAGAGTGAAAAATGCCATAAGGGAATTCACAAGATTGTCAAGAAATAGTATAATGATTGCACTTCTTAGCAGAAAACTATTTTGTGAAAAGTCAATATGTATTTTATTTCTTCAACAAGTGGGAAGAACAAAAACAAGGGAATACATATTACTTACAGTACTTGTTAGTTTTGTATGGCTACAAGAGTTGAAGGCATAATACCTGACCCGCTGGCACAAGGTTGTCACCGGTCAACTTTACAGCCTCAACATACTCATAGAACTGTAGGTCCCTGTGCTCTTCAGATGAATCATCCTCTCGCCATTGACCAAATTTTCGTTGTAAGCTAAGAATTTCTGAGTCAAAACCTGATGCCGTCATGTATAAACCTGCCAAGGAGAGATGCCTAATCAGCTAATACCAGCAATAAGGAAAAGTTTGTGGCTAAATGAGAACAATTATACCACTAAAATCCTAAGTGAAAAATATCATTTTCAACGTACCAGTAAGAGGATCTGAGGAGACAGGTATCTGAATACGGCTGAAGTGAGTAACTCCGTACAATTTTTGCTGAACCTTATTATTGTGTTGCTTGATGCCAAGTTGTAGTACCTGCATAAGATAAATTAAAATGGCACCATGAAAAAGACAAACTCAGTCAATTTGAAAAATCCATGCTTTTCTTTAGTCTACAAAATTTATTTACTTCAAGCTGAATTAGACAATATGCCTTTCCTTAGTCTACAAAATTTATTCAAATCTTGTTGAACAGGGGATATGCTTGCATTGATAAGCAAATAAAAGCAGAAAAAAAATGTGAAGATTAGATAATTTGACATTTAACAGTCAGCTGAAAAAAAGATACTATAAACACCCTGAAGAAGAATAATTGGCAGAGACAAAAAGGTTTTGTGAATTTAACAAACAGTAATTCACAAAAAAAAAACTGGCAATTCAGGAACAAAATCAGAGAGTTCATAGGCCATAAATCGACAATCAATCAATCTTTTATTCAAATTAAGACAAATGCAGGATATCAAAAGCAAACATAAAACAGTACGGCAGCATAATACTTACCGATAATTTTCTGTTGCTGCCTACTAACTTTACACGGTCAAATTGGAGATCATCATCATCCTGCTGAGCAGTTCGGAGTCCAACTTTTTCTTTGGAAATCCCCTGAACTTTTTCCACATCTTGCCTTTTACTATATTGTTCAGTATAGAACGAAAATGAAAAACGGTCTCTTCTTTCTAATCTAGCTGGCATTCGTTCAAAGGCTTTTGTGGATGATGGAGACATAAAATCCTTGTCGTCCTCTGTGATAAAATCAATTGATATTAAGGCTTCAATATCACTTTCATCGCCAGATTCATCAACATTATCTTCTGCAGAAGCTGCTTCTGCTTCTTCAACGTTATCTCCATCACCAATGTCCTCTGATGATTCAATTTCATCCTCAGGATTATCATTTTCATCATCTTCATCCGACATCTGATCAAAAATTTTGATTATATAGTCCTGATTAACATTTTCCATGGGCACCACTTTTAGTATTTTAACCCTGGGAACTGGAGTTGAATCGCTTGGCAAGTTTTTGAAACCAGCTGGACCAGCAGAAATATCACTATCATCACTATTTTGATCATCCATGTTTACACCTTCATTGTGATCCTCATGTTTAGCTCCAAATGAACTGCTAGATATGTTTATACTATCCATGCCTAGTTTCTCTCTCAACGTATTTGACAACTGCTGAGAATCACTGTCATCTGGTTTCAGATGCACTGCCTGTAAACAAGAATACCATTTTGTCAAAAGATGAGAAGAACAACAATATGCAAGTAGTTTGCTTAGCAGTTCTGATAACTTTGCACAGGTTATTAGATTAAAAAAAGATGTCAGTTATTTCTATCAAAATTACACCAAATAGAGAAGTCATATAACCATGCATGTCAAACCCATTTGTAGGTTATAATATTTGTGATGTTCAACTTCAATGTACACTGTATTTTGGTACTTCACAAAAAGAAAAGGATTTGTGCCATAATCTGCTAATTTGTGATCAAGAGGAAAAAAACTAAAGCTCAATAATGTTGGTATAAAAGGAACTGTTGGCTCAAATATATAAAAAAATGCAAATACAGGATTTGTAACCACAATGGTTGTAACTATAAAAGGAAATCATAATTTTCCATGTGAAATATTAAAATATCATTGTTCCACTGTAATGAAAAATGGAATAGGGGAGTGCCCTGATGTTTCTTTAAAAAAGCAAATTTGGGATAGCCTAGGTGGACATGCAATCTTTTCTCTTTTTTTTCCTTTGATGATGTGCATTCATCTATTACTATATTTCCTAAAGGTGAGTGAATTCCTTATTCAAAATGTAGAAAAATGCAGGTCAATATGACACTTCCAGATGCCATTACCATTTTTTTAGAGAGAAGACTCAGCCTTTACCATATTTATAATGTAATTTCCACATTAAAGAAATAAAGGATGTCATTGTGAGTTTACAGGGAGTGCATGAAAAAACAATAAATGCGTGTTCAACTTATTCAATTGGTAACAAAAAGAACTATTCCTATGATTCCAGGCATATTTTTTTCATTGGAATTTAATTTAGCGCACCTGCAGATTGTACCCTCCATTGGCCTCAGCAAAGTAAATTTCAAATATGGGGAAACCAGGGCCATCTGAATTCAGCTGCCTGAACAAGAGAAAATTAAAGGCTCAACTAGCAAGTAGAGCAAATATTTTATCAATGCTAATATGCAACCATTTCCATGATGGCATCAGCTTGATCAATGCAAGCATTCGTTAGTAGCTATTAGCTAACCCTTCATACCCTATTGGATTTTCTTCCCATCAACAATGGGATAATCATAATGGAATGAAACAAGAATCCCAACTGTTTCATGAACACAACGTGAACACGGATGCACAAAAATCTTGACTGAAAATGCCTCTGTAATAGAACAGGTGAAAAAACTAAATTGCCCATGAGGCAGTTATCCTCGTATCGGACATGTAATTAAGAATGCAGATAATAATGATAAAAAATGACAACTATTACCTGGTATCGTAACTTTTCGCCACATATCGACCATGTTCAGCACTTATACGAATTATAAGACCATATGGATCAGACAAATTTCCAGAAATCCCAGACCACCATCCCAACTGCAGGTGCTTTAAAGGATCAGTTGATGGCATTCTTTTGTGCAGATGGAAAGAAGAAAAAGAAAACATAGAAATGGATAAGCATGCACTACAGAACATAAGGGCAAAAAAATAGAACACTTACAGAACACTTAAATACTACATGCATACAGCTGAACCTTCATAACAGCACACTTATATTTTATGTTTATTATTATTCCTTCCTCATCACACCACGCATTCTAAAAACAGAAGTGGTTCAGGTCTTGAGGAGCCTGAGGATAGATTCTCCTGATCGAGCATAGGTGCCATGCTCGGTCTCAAACAAGTTCTAACTGTGGCATTCACCAGACAAACAACATAGGCCACAAGACATCAAAGTAGAAATTACAGTGTGGACTTGCACAACCTCTAAACCATTCATTTAAAATTATTATTATATGTATAGTATGAGCCTTAATGCCACCGTCAGGATAAGTAACTAAAATGGTCAAATTTTGCTTGAAATATAATTTAATTATCATGCTTGCTTGCTTAAAACACGAGAGGAATCAAATTGTTATTCTTATGCTGTAATAACAGGGAAACATCTATACTCTTTTTAAAAGCCTCTAGTGATGGTGGCAGTGAATCTGCCATTGTTTTTGCAGTTTTTACAAATTTCCCCCTGATATTTTCTAATATAGTGGAATAGTCCAACATTTGGTTCAAACAAGTGATACTAAGATATTTGAATAAAAAAATATTTAGCTATGACATATTATGATTTTTTTCTTCTGTCCTGTAGCAAAGCTTGGGCATTTTGCTAGTAGATTTAGTGTACATACAGCAAGCCATTGCTAGAATGCTAGAAATGACTCGAAATGGTTACATATAATAATTTTAAATGAATAGGAACCTCTCAGGCTAATGCTTGAGCAGTTGAGCTAAATTAACTTGAATCCATTGTACCTATTCTGATTTACTGGTCTGTTTTCTCTCTAATACCTGGTCCAGAATTATTAACTCGAATGGCAACAGGTACATAATAGGTATTTCATAATTGCATGCATATAATATAGCGATACAAAAGAAACATAAGTAAAAACTTTGCGATACTAACCAATCCTGCGCCAGCATGATCTCTAATATAAGTTGCATCCATGTAGCGCTCCTCTTCTATTGCACTCTGCATGCCAAAAAGATTAGAAAAGAGTTTCAATTATCTTGTAATTATCAAATATGTTCCCACTATTTTGGCCATGGAAAATAATTTGGATTCATTGCTCTACCTACAAAAGCAATTTATTTACATCCTTCTGTTATCAGTAGAAGTTAGACATCTTTTGCTGAATAATACAGTGGGTACAAATATGTTAGCTTGGGGAAATTTGGGGTGCAAGACTACGTTGTTCTTCCATAAATTGGTTATTTCAGCTAGTACCAAACTTGTTAGTTATTATTTATTATTTTCCATCAAATCAACAATAGTGCTAGCCATTAGTCCTCTTATAAGCTTGTATAGGATCAACTGTGCACCATTTTAGCAAAGATCAAAAGTGCCATTTGCTGTTTATGCAATTAAAAAAGAGATACTCCTTACATTTAAGTCAGAAATTGCTCTGCCCACAGTATCGTTTTTTGATGTAGCCGCAATAGCCAACTTCAGTTTGTGAGCACTCCTGAAGTCCTCTCTATAAACAGCAGTCCGTAGTTGTAGCTGAAATGCAATATACAACAATCAGGAAATATGTGATGGTGTAACACAAAAACATTGGGGAGAAAAACATGTATGAACAAAAGCACACAATTGATATGGTGAATCTGCCTCATACACAACTAAGTTCCATCTGCTATGTTTGAGGAGGTTATACCGTTATATCCAGATATTATGCATCTAACAGACTCCCTCCATCCCAAAATATAGCAATGTCCAGATTCGTTGTACTAGGATATGTCCCATCCAGTCCTAAGTCGCTATATTTTGGGACGGAGGGAGTACTTGGTTTCAAACAATTCTAGATATCACCAAACTGTCATGTTTGACAATTTAAAACTAAATTGTCAGACATTTAAAATGTATAAGCACCACTGAACTGAGGAGATAAGTTTGTAACTGGCTCTCTTCCTGATATTGGAATGGATTAGCTTCAGTAATGGTCAATGTTGAATTATGCAACTTAATAGTAGCTCCAGAGGAAACTTGTAAGGCTATGTTCAGCATAAGGAGAACGGGAACTTGTCTACTTTGCCTACATACAAAGTCTAACTCACAGTACAAAGCACATTTTCTGAGCACATCAAACCATATAGCCTTAACAAAAGAAGGCTTTAGCTTCCATAATGCAAGCCTCTAGGGACATATTGTTTACACTATGCTAAGGTTCCTCAGGTTACTTGTAGATAACATGGACAGCAAATAGAAATATCGATACCATCGTGAAGTCCACCAGCACACCCTCCTATAACTAAGTTTAATTCACGGTAGTTTCCAGATGAACAAAATCCACGACCAGTCCACAGTCACACATGCTCAGCCCCATCTTTTTGCTTATGCTTATGCTTATGCTTATCGGCCAAAATTTGAATTTTCAACTTTAAATTTGAAGTTGATTTTGAGGTTTTTTTCATCGAAGTTTATTTTTCAGACTTTGCTTTTAGGTCGCTAAGAGTACGTATATAAAAGTTTTATTCACAAATTATTTTCCATTTGTAAATATGCCGTTTGGCTTATTCCTAGAATAAGCCAACCGACGGAGCCGGATATTGGTCCAGGAATTAAACAGATGCATTTCTACAAGTACACGTCTGGAGCTCGATGTTACATAAAAACGTAAATTTTCTGCTGGAATCAACAAATTTGAAACTTATGGTTAAGAGCACGTGATTTGTAAATGACATGAATTGATTGAATTAATCTCCGTGCGAGAGATATACCTGCAGCTCATCGACGAGGCGCTCGCTCTCTTCGATTAGCGCGAAGTGCTGCTTCCACCTCTCCCAGCTCCACTTCCCCTCTTCCTCCTCCACCTCGCCCCTAACCTGCTCTTCGCGACGACTCTCAACCCTCTTCCCGAGCCCAGCATCCTTCCCGGCAGGCGCCAAGGGCCAGTGGCTGCCGACGTACTCGCTCCACCGCCGCACGGCGCCCTGGAACGCGTCGTGGAACAGCGCGTCCCAGCCCCTCCGCCGCTCGCCGCTGCCGGCGTCCGCGTCGTCGGGGCTCCGCACGCCGCCTCCACCGCCGCCGCACCGCACCACGGACGAAACGCGGCGGCGTGGTGCCGGTGCGGGCGCGGCGCCCGCAAGCCGGCGCACGCGCAGCCGCTCCCCGCGCCGCGCCGCGAGGAACAACCTGCTGCCGCTGCCGCTGCTAGGGTTCGGGCTCGGATCCCACCTCCGCGACATCGACGCGGAGGAGGACGACGACGAGCAGCAGGAGGACGACACGGCGCCGGCGGGGAGCGGCGCGCGCGGCGCCGTGGAGACGGCCGCCGCCATGGCGAGGCGCGGCGGAGGCGGAGGCGACGCGCTCGTGCGTTTCGCTCGCGTCGATGGCTTGGCCGCCACGCGAATTTTTCGGGTTTGGATTGGACTCGTGCTTCGCCTCTGCTCCTTCGCTCTCCTCTCCTCGCCTCTCCTCCTGTGGATTGGAACGAAAAGAGGGGAAGAGATGATAAGAGTCGCGAAGTCGCGGGCGGGGAGAGCAGGAGGGGATCTGTGACGGGGGAGACCATGACAGGTGGGCCCCACCACCGGACACCTGTGCTTTGGGGCTTTGGGCCCGTGCGTTCGTGGCTGTGGGGGTTTCTGCGGCGTGCGATTTTTGTTGTTTTTTTTTTCTCTCTTTTTTGGAATACCTTGCTTGGGTCGTCGGAAACGCGGGGGGCCACGAGAAAAGGTTCGGCGCCAACGGCGTGGGTGCAGCACACCGGACGATGGCTTGTGGTGTCTGACTGTCTGCAAGGAGGGGGTACGTGTGCAAGTAGGGCCCACGTGTAAGAAATGTTATGGAGTGAGATGATATGTGGGACCTTCTCGCTCTATGCAATGTGGTGTGATGTACTGTTTGTTGACTTACACATCAACTGACACATGAAGAACCCTCGAACACGTGGATGAAAGCTTTTGCTTCCCTGAATCCTCTCGAGCACTCCATCACTTGACCTGACGAATGTCGATCACATGGCTTAAAGCTCTCTTCGAGATTGAACAATCATGAGACAACCTTTATCCATCTCTTTGATGTTATCATTATCAATTTTATCATCGTGATGTATCCATGTTTACTCACTCTGTTCCACATATATTCAGCGCACAGTGTGAAACAAATGAAGTAAAACCAACCAACTCATCTTTCGTCGTATTTCAATCGCAATGGACATTCACAAGCAACATAAGCAAGATGATTCTTGCTAAACAACACAACCTTTCATCGTTCGCGAAACACACGACCTTTCATGGATGGTACGAATCAACTTGACAAATGCTTAATAAATGGGCATCAACGTTGAGCAGTGCAACGTGACAACACCAATGGCGTTGGCGTTATTTCCCTCGCCCCTGGGTGAAAGCTAAGTCACTAACATGAAGAGGAACGACGTTAATATCCTTGCGCTGAGGATCTATTTGTGTGCCAATGACATTGTCGCCGAGGACTTATTTGTAAATATTTTTTATTACAAATATGACCTTTTTCAAAAAATGCAAATATGTCCTCCCCTTCAAATTAGTTGACTTAGCTTTCATCGGGGCTAGGGGATGACGCCGTCATGTTGGACCACGCGTCAATGATATTGGCGCCATGAAAAAGATCATTTCTATAATAAGTTTTTTTTGTCTAGTTTTAGAATAAGTTTTCTAAGAAGATAAAAAGTAAAAAATCCATATCAATTTTCCACCCTATAAAACTTTGGTAGGGCCAAAACCGCAAGTGTTAACACTTCCAAACGTGGTATGATTCAACTTAACCAATCGGTTAATAGATAACCAATGGGGATAAAAAGTGGTAGTAAATCAATCATCTAAGTGGTTCTATTAAAGTTGCCAACATTCTCATTTGATAAAATTAGCTTCAATCCAAACAACCAAAATTTTAATTTGCATAACTCTATTTTTATCATAGTTCAAATACTAACATACTGTTAAAAAAAACTAACCTACACACTTATTGGTGCATTTTAGCAGGGTGTGGCTAATAGGCGATCGATCCCCATCCCCCTTACGCTCTCTTTCCCCTTTTCCTCCTCTCCTTCTTCTATTCCTACTACACCATAAATTTTTTTAAAAAAATAATAAAAAATAAAGTTAGAAAAATTTATGTATAGAAATACTATATATAAAAAATATTTGAATTTAAATTAAAATTTGAAACGGGTATGTAAACTTTTGACTTATAAACTTTGGGTCTATAAACTCATATTTGAATTCAAATTCAAATTTGAATCAGGTATGTAAACTTTTGACTTATAAACTTTGGGTCTATAAACTTTAGGTGTATAAACTTTAGATGTATAGAAATACTATATATAAAAAATATATGAATTCAAATTCAAATTTGAATCGGGTATGTAAACTTTTGACTTATAAACTTTAGATGTATAGAAATACTATATATAAAAAATATTTGAATTCAAATTCAATTTTGAATCGGATATATAAACTTTTGACTTGTAAACTATGGGTCTCTAAACTTTAGATGCGTAAATTTAAGGTGTATAAATTTACTAAAATAGGAAAGTAATACTGTGCCAAAAAGGAAACCACATGGAGAAGGGGGTGATCAACGTGGGGAGGGGGACCGATCTCTTAGAGCGATCGATTGCCTCTTAAGACTTTCGATTTAAGCATGGGCTTATTCTTGGATTTCTTCGGTTGGAGATTGGAATGGCACATGAAGAAAAAAAACTAATTGTAAGAAGTGTCCCCCCACTCATAAATATTTAGGAAAATTGGTTATATAGCATCAAAAGTTTACGTTTTCGATTTTATAGCACCAAAAGATACCGGTTCACTTTAATAGCACTCAAAGTTCACCCCGTTCCTATTTTTAACACTTCTGTCAATTTCCGATCGTTTTTCCGTCCACCTCGATCGCTATTGACCCAGCCACGCATGCGATATGACGTTTCTACCCCTCACAAGTACAAGTAGAATTCATGGCATATGAGGGGTAGAAACGTCATACCACGTCTTCGGCGACCGCGGCGACCGGAGCAGGAGTGCCTTGGGGTCCAACAGCGACGTTGGGCTCCTCAACGCCGGTTCCCCGCCATCCGCCACCCCGCGCTTCGCAGCCAGCCCAACAAACACAACCTTGGCACGGCGAACAGCGTCGCGCCACCGCCGCCTCGAACCCTCCCCACCTCCCCGCTGGCGGCGCCGTCCGGATCGAACACCATCCTCCGCAGCATCGCCGCCAATCTAACAAACTCACAAAAACGACACTTTCACTTTGACATGTGGGACCCACGTGGGTCCCACGCTAACTCAGCCACTACGTAGGATAAAACCGGGGTCAAAACTACTTAAGGATCTATTGTGACCAGTTTTAATTGGTTGTATTTAGTTCACGTTAAAATTAAAAATTTGGTTGAAATTGGAACAATGTGACGGAAAAGTTTAAAGTTTATGTATGTAGAAAAGTTTTGATGTGATGAAAAAGTTGAAGTTTTGGCCTTATATCTCGTTTTGGGATGATTTCGTAACTCGGGGGGGGACCTTCGACGGCAGGGGCACACAGCAGAGTATCGCCCCGCGAACTCCAGCGGTCGGGTCGAGCCCCTCTTCGCGAGCCCGCGACCCACGACACGAGACGAAAGTCGTGGGCTCCTACGGCGGGGGTGGCGCTCGCGCTACTACACAACTCCCCCGCCGCGCGCGAGGACGGACGGCCGCCCGCCATGCGCCTCCCCCTCCTCGGCGCGGCGTTGCCGCTCCTCCTCTCCCTCCTCGCGGCGTCGCAGCTGGGGGCATCTGCGACAGCGGCGGCGGCGAGCTCCGGTGCCGCCGCCTCCGGGCGCGCGGAATGGCAGGTCCTGACCAGGGCCAACTTCTCCTCCCAGATCCGGCTTCACCCCCACATCCTGCTCGTCGTCACCATGCCATGTGAGCACCCCCTATCCGTTCCTAGTCGAGAGCTCTGGTTCTCCGATGAGTCGCGTGGTCGCACTATGCGGTTAATTTGGAGAGCTGAGTTTTTCTCTCTTAGCGGAAATGTGAATCTCCATGTGTCGAATTATATAAACGATAAGGGACTAGGAACACATTTTGTTCTGTACTTCTGCTGAGTTGATTGATTACGGAAACCGCGACAATTTTGTAGTCTGAAATGCTCAACCGTTGTAAGATCCTACACTTCTGTTAATATATGCTTTATTCCCTTTTGAGTTTTGAGTCAGCTCTGCGTAGTTTAATAAGTTAAATGCTCTCATAAATGCGAATTTAAGCTAAACGCTCTCATAATTGCGAATTTAATTCTATGAAAATGCAACATTTTACCCCCAAAGACCCGGGCGAACATTTGTATTACAGCGAGTTCATAGTATCCAGCAAAGGAAAAAGGCTTGTATGGGATCTTTTTGCGCGCAAAGTCCTTACTTCTACTGTTTTTGTTTATGATAATCTGTAGGGTATGGCGAGTCAAGATCACTGATGGCCGAGATAGAACTTTTGGTTGCTGCCGATGAGCAGGAGCTCGGGCATCTCAAGTTGATGGCTGTGTACAGAAATTCTGAGAAGTTGCTAACGGATGTACTTGGTGCCACAGAAGGAATAAAGTTCATATACTACCAACGCTCGTTGCCATTCAAATATGAAGGGAAGCTTCGTGCACGTGAGATATTGTCTTCAGTCCACTATATTATGTCACTCAAGCATGCAGAGGCCCCATTTGTGGTTTTGCATACGAAGGAAGATGTGGAGGCTTTTGTTGAATCAACTGACAAAGCTGTAGTTCTATCTGAATTCTGTGGGTGGTTTTCCAAATTGGCTCATGGTGGGAGCAACAGAACCGAGGGCACTTCATCCAAAAATCACACAGAAAATGGTTCGTCAATTCTGATCCACTCTTTATGATTCATTTAACTATTACGTATTCTCTCGCTGCTATATTTTTTAGGGGCTTTGTTAAGATTGTGTTTGATAGCCGCAGTAGGTCAAGTAGTTCTTTCCCTGAACATGAGTGGGCACGATTTTTTCCCTTTCTAAAAGAAATAAATGGCCTAGTTTGGTTATTCTATTCTGACTTAAGTTAATTATTACTAAATAATTTAATATACCAAATGCACATGCAACTTATAAGACCACAAAAGCCAGGAGTCAGGGGGTGCAAATATGGTATAAGATGGTAAAAGTATCCTCATGTGGGGCTCCAAGGAGTATTTGGTTTGTTTTCTCCTTTTATGAATTCGTTCAAATTGATCTACTTTAATCTTTAACTCTCAATCCATTTCAAGCATGACTTGCTCCATGACCTTTATCATTTAACTTTTGAATAAATGATAATGGTTCCACTCCATTCCAGCATGTGCATGCTATGCTCATTTGTATCACTTATCATACAGTTGACATTTCTGGGAAGGCACTAACAGGAGAATCGGATGGGCCACTAGAGCTTGTAAGTGTAGCAAAGAGGATCACATTTATCTCTGATTAATTACACTGCTAATTTCTTTGAGAAGAAATATGAAATATCTATCTGAACTACGAAGATTCAGCAAATACCAGGAGAAACATCCCTGAAAATATACTTATTTGAGATGAAAACAGGTTATAGAGGATGAAGAACTGATTTTTGGAGGTGGGGTTCAGCTTGCTGGCTCTCCTTGGAAAGGTGGATTTACCTTAGCAAACGGAAGCATGTCAGATCAAAATGGGATTACAACTGATGAAAATAGAAAGTTGTGTACAGCGGAAAAGCTTCAACAGTTTGAAAGTTTCTATGCAAAGCTTACTGCTCTATCAAGAGATTATTTTCTTCCTCCAGAGAAAGTTAGATTTGGCCTTATAACTGAAAGATCATCATTACCTTCATCAGAGTTTATCAATGAAGGCAATTCGGAGACATGGTTCCTCAGTGTTCATTATCTGGGGTGCACCAATTGTTCAATTGTTGCAAAAGAAGGTGATGACCTAAGAAGCCTACTGCAATCTTATCATAATCTTAACATTAACGAGGTAGGTGAAAAACAATTTCATAACTTCTTTCCATAAAAAGTTGTCAACTGACAACTGTCATGTAACTGAGTGACAGATATAACAATGTGCATATCCTTATTACTTTTCTTACAACTCTATTCGATATTGGTTGAAAATGGACTAAGAAGATAGCTCATAGCTGCTTGCATTTATATTCTATTCCAAGCTTACCAATTCAAATCCTTTGAACCATGTTTCTCTCTTTGCAAATGTGTTGCTCTTCTTGAAAAATTTTCTTGGGCTGCACATAAAGAGAATACTTCTGTTCATATATTAGAAGTATGCAATTATCTTGATGACATAATGTTGTATTATATAGAAATGACATGTCCTGGATGCATTCTATGAGTTTCTTCTTTCTTTCTGTAATGACCTATCCAGTGACCTTTCGAGTTGCATGCTATATGTGTAGATGGATATTGATGCAAGTGGTATCGCTACCTTTCCTGCAAGTAGATCATCGGCTATTCTATTTATTGATAGATTGTCAGATTCTTCAAAAGTCAGAGATGAAAGCAAACTATCCCTCAAACTACTAAGGGAATATGTGCAGAAAAATTATCCATCTCATTTCAGTACTGGTGGTCTAACTAGTGGTAAATCCAGAATGAGCTCTAAAGCTGTTCCTTCCCTAGTTAGCACAGGTAGATCTGCCCATACTGAACGAACTAGGCTGAATGATTGGGCCTCCAAATTAATGGAAATTGGGGAGAAAATGTCAGTAATGGTGGTCAATGATGGAGAAAGTATTTCGTACAGAAGTGATAGCCAAGGTAGTACCGATAATCCATTATATGATATTCTAACAAAACTGATACACAAAACAAGACCAGCACATAGGTCAAAGAAAACAAAGATAAGTTTTGTTGCAAAAGATGTTGCCATAAAGAAGCTGTCTGATGATTCTGAAGTCCAAGTGGTGGAATCTCTGTCAATTCGAGATAGTCAACTTGAAAGAAATGAAGGGTCATGTGCCAGTTCAGACGGTGGTAATGATGATTACACTGAAGATTCTGTTCATGAAAACAGGGCAACAGAAGCTGAATATATCAATGATAGACAAGCACCCATTAAACTTGAGAAAGGTCCTGCAAATTACTGTGATAACAATGAAAAACATCTTGAATCCAGTGATACAGAAGTGGAGGAAGAACACAAAACAAAGGCCTCAGATGTAAGCCTTGATCTGCAGGAAGATATTTCTGTTGATGTGCACAGTAGCAATGCTCCTAAAAATTTCTGTAAGATCAATAAAGAAGATCTTGACTGTAGTGATACAAAAATGGAGGAACAAGAACATAAAACTGAGGCTTCAGATACAAGTGCTGATCTTCAGGAAGAGGTCTCCACTGATGTGCATTCCAGCAATGAAGTTGGTCATATATTACACAAACACAAAGATGAGGAAACAGTTAGAGAAGCTTTAGACATTTTGGAACCCGATGGGACAAATGTGAATTTTAACCAACAGAAGTCAGGATCAGCAAATCAGCAAGATGCTGTGTTTTCAGTCCTGGGTCAAGAATCTCGAAGAATTGAGGATGCCATTTATGAGGATAACCTATTTATTCTAGATGAAGGATCAGAAGAAAGTGATAGCAAATATCCTGTGCATGCAGCATTAAGCTCTTCCAGTAGCCTTGTGGGCGATAACACATATTATACAGAGCAGGAAACTCCAAGTATACCTGATGAACATTTTGCGGGTTCACTCTTCTTCTCTGATGGTGGTTATAGGCTTCTGCAAACTTTAACTGGTGGATCGAGAATGCCATCCCTTGTAATAATTGACCCAATTCAGCAAAAGCATTATGTCTTTCCAGATGAGATTGAATTTACCTACCCTTCTTTAGCAAATTTTCTCGACCATTTTATGAATCGAAGTCTATCTCCATATTATCGTTCAGCCTTATCTGTCATAAGTTCGAAGGAGCTTCTGAGACCACCTTTTATTAACCGTGATTTCCACGAGGCAGATTCCATCCCCCAGTTGACAACAAGTAATTTTTGTATGTTGGTCTTTGGATTTGAAGGTTGTGTTTCAAAAAGTGAACTGCCGTTTTCAAACACTGAAAATATTTCATCTGCTTGGAAGAAGGATGTATTGGTGCTTTTCAGCAACTCTTGGTGCGGATTTTGCCAGCGAACAGAGCTTGTTGTCCGTGAGGTATATCGATCATTCAAGAACTTTTTGAGTTCAAATTCTCAATTTTTACAGGCTCAAGACTTGCAGATTGAAGGTAATAACATATTCACCAATATCATGCTGAGAACTTAGATTAAACTTAGTCTCAGAAATATTTAAAATTTCCTGCTATTTAGCTTTGTTTAGTTCGAATTTTAGGATCATCCCGTCAATCAAATTATATCATACCAGAATGTAATGCAACATATGCTAGCAAACTTTTAGGCAGCACTATGCAATGCATTTCCTATATATAATCATACATGTGTCACACCATAGTAAGATAACCCTATAGCCTGTTGGAGCTCACCGTTTATATGGTACGGCACTTCAAACGTGAATTACCTGTGGCACTGATGAATCATCTTTTTGGTTGCAGAGAAAGAAGAAGAATCTACCATGAAGGGTTTTCCAGCTATTTATCTAATAGACTGCACATCAAATGAATGCCATCATTTACTGAAATCAGTTGGCAAGGTAATCAAATATTTGCCATTTATTGAAGTTTGCTCTGTCTCCTGACTAATAAAAAAAAAGATAGAAGTTCTCCATACTTATTGCTGTTGTTTACCCCGAAATAGTCTCATTTCATTGTTCGTAATAAATGTACCGGTATCGGCAACAGTCATTCAAGAAGTATGTTTTGGTTTATTTGGACTGATTAAACTATTAAAGTCTCATCATTTGAGTCTTAAGAATGACCTTGTCATTAGACTGTTGGAGATGTTATAATGACCATAGTTCTGTTCAGCAGTACTGAAGCTTGAATTAAAAATAAATAGATGGTCCATCTAATTAAATATACTTATGAATCTATTCTATTTTTTTGGTACTGAAGGGCCTTGCTTCACCTTACCATTTTTGTATTGAAGTGCTTATATTGACAATACTAATGTAACCTTCATGTGTTCACAGGAGGAGCGTTATCCCACATTGTTGTTTTTTCCGGCAGAGAACAAAAGTGCAATATCATATGAAAGAGGAATTTCAGTTTCTAATTTATTTGAATTCTTGGAGTCTCATGCTAGCAATTCACCCCACCTGTTGGAATATAAAGGTTAGTGCAAAAATCTCATAACTCATAAATTTTAAAAAATAAATGAACCTAGTACGATGATATATGTTGTCTTACTATAGTAGTGTTTGTTACTACAGGATGCGCTGTTGTTGCCACTCTCAAAAGTGTCCACTCCACTGTCTTTTTGTTGGCTAGCATACGATGTATATTAGTGTCTTGGCTGGGTAGCTGCTTGATGGTAGACTACCTTGTTAGAAGTGCTGAAAACCCCAGGGAATGCGACGTGAACAGTGGTCTGCTTGATTGAACCACCATGTGACTAATGGCTTTGATATTTTCTGACATTGTTATTCTAATTTCTCAATTCCTTTATATTGTTCACATTTCATATATAAACCAACCGTTCGCAGCTGACCTGGGCATTCCCAAATGTTGCACCAAAGATTAATAAGAAAGTGTTTTCACTGTCCACTATCACTGTGATGAAGGAATATTCTAATGCCTGCGCTCTTTTTGGCTCGCAGGATTTCTGTGGAAGAAGAAAACGGTCGTGCAAGGTGATGCACCACAGGCAATTCAGTTTGATAACAGCGACAAAATCAGCAACGATGTTGGTTCCCATTCACCAAGTCATTCAGAGAGGAACGAGGCACGTGTCCTCACAGGTTCCGTGCTCACTGCAACTTCGAAGCTCGGGTCTGCCGTTCCATTTGACAACTCCCAGGTGCTCATCGTATCCGCTGACTCTCGTGAGGGCTTTCATGGCTTGATCATCAACAAGCGCTTAAGCTGGGACACCTTCAAGAATCTGGACGGCTCCATGGAGCCGATCAAGCACGCCCCGCTTTTCTACGGCGGACCTGTTGTGGTGCAGGGCTATTACCTTGTGAGCCTTTCCAGAGTAGCCTTCGATGGGTACTTGCAGGTTATACCCGGTGTGTATTATGGAAACGTAGCCGCCACAGCCCAGGTCACCAGACGAATCAAATCAGGGGAGCAATCTGCTGAGAACCTGTGGTTTTTCCTTGGGTTCTCGAACTGGGAATACAGTCAACTATTTGATGAACTATCTGAAGGAGCTTGGCAAGTGAGTGAAGAGCCTATCGAGCATTTGGTCTGGCCAGAGAATTAATTAGGGCATTCCTCTTCTATTTTTAGAGAATAGACTAGAGTTTTGAGGGTTCCCGAATTGCAAGTGTTCCATGCACATACATGCTGACACTGCAATATGACGTTGTACTGCACTCTTTTTTTTTTTGGATCAGACAAGACAGCATTACACTAACAGTTTTGATATTTCTACTACTGAACTGTACTGCTTTCTTTGTGGATTAGAAAAGACAACATTGCATACAGTTTTGATATTTCTACTACTGAATCCACAGTATGCAGTATTTTTTCACTGTTACTGTATACAATTGTTTTAAGACTGTTGCTGTACACAATCGTTTCTTTGTGGAACTGGGCATGTACAAAGGTATACTCTGATATGAGCTCTTAGTTAATACATACTCACTTAGAGACTATTTTCCTGCAATAGTTGAGACAACAAAATCTCTTAACCTTCGCATTAATGCACATAAATATTTTTTTATTACTCTTCTTTCCTTTTATCCACCTGATACAACAAAAATTTCTTTAATAAATGCTAATAGTTGACTCTGAGCTATTATCGTGCGTAGCAATCATGTTTCTCTTTCCTCCCCTTTCTCTTCTCTATGTTACCAAAATTACTCTGCATGGCAACCAAAATTACTCTGCATGGCAACGGAGAGAATCCGTTAATAAGCATCTTTGTACATGCCCTAATAATTAACTAGTTTATACCTTGAGTTATGCGCGGGATATATGAATGGATGCATGTTGTATATTATAGAAATGGTATATGTACATGCTTAAATAATGTGAAAATGACGTGGAGATAATGATTTGACATTAATTGTCTATTGAGTTCTAAAAATATATAAATGGTATATCATATTTGCGTGATATTTAAAATACTCTACTCCCTCTGTTTCACAATGTAAGTTATTATATCATTTCCCACATTTATATTGATGTTATGAATCTAAATAGATACATGTCTAGATTTATTAACATCAATATAAATATGAAAATGATAGAATGACTTACATTATGAAACGGAGGAAATATATAATACTCCCTCCATCCCATAATATAGTCTCACATACCTCTAAAATCCCTTATATTATGAGGCGGAGGGAGTAATTGCTAGTGGATGATGATGTGACATGCTTGCATGTGATTTAAAATACTCTAGATAATAATTATCAGTGGGTAATGATGTGGCACACTTACATGTTGAGCTTTTAAAGATTGGTAGACATCAACTTTATATAGTAAGATATGATTAATCATAAATTTTTCATGAGTAAAACCAAGGCCAAACTACGAGTTGACGCCCATTACAGCCCACGGCCCAGATCCAGCCCACGGCCCACGTGTCAACGCTCGTGCATCCCCCAATTCTCAATTCGGCCGCTCGCTCCGGTTACTGCTCCCCTCTCGCAACATCCGGCTCCGCTCGCCTAGGCCGCAAAAACCCTAGGCCTTGCCCCCCGACTCCTCCTCTCCCATGGCGACGCCGGCGACGGCCGCCTCCGACGCGACCAACCCGGAGGCGGCGGAAGTGCCGTCCGCTGCCCCGGCGTCGGAATCGGAAGGACCGTTCGATTCCGGCGTCGTCGCGGCGGCAACGACACCGGCGGTGGTGGATAGTGCGGTGGAGGGAGACGCCCCGGCCGCTCCCGCTCCTACCTCCGGCTCCGGTCCTGCGGCGCCGTCTATGCCGGCGAATCCGGCGTCTCCTGCAACTCCAGGGCCCCCGCGGCCGCAGTTCGCCGGGTCGCCCGCTTACGCGAGCCCCCCGGCGCCGGCGTTCTCGTACAACGTTCTTCCGAGGCCGTCACCCCGGCCGCAGGTGGGCAGTGGTGCGGCCCAGCAGCAGCTAGCTTCCCCTCCGGTAGGGTATCGTGCACCCTCTATGCTTCACATCGCAATTATATTATACTCCATACCTTTTTGTTTTCACCTTAACTGCACGAAATGTCGTTTTATTTTTTTCCTTGGGAATGAGAAGCAATGTTATATAGCGTTGTTGGGACCAATTTGTGGTGTTCAGCTCAGATTATGAGCGGTGACTTACTGTTGCGTTAATTAGTGCTATTATTTGTATACAACTGCAGAAAATGAGAATTTCTGCTTTATAGATTCCCTATGAACTCTTGTGGGCTTCAAAAGTTGATATCAGCTGCCGTTTAATTTGCTGATCAACACATTGCAGCATTTATAGTTCCTAGTGGCGGTGAAGATTCATATCAGATTTTGTTAACTCCTGTTTAGCTTCAGTAGCCGATGGCTAGCTCATACTTTATCTGAAGAAATTTCTTGTTTAGATATACGCAGCAGCAGTACGAGTTGTGTTTATAATTTTTGTTCTCATTTTACTCTGCTTTTATCTTGATCTGATGATAAACATGCCTGCTTACGTTTTGCTCTGATACAAAATGTTGTGAGATTAGTCTTTCTCTTCTCATGTGAAATGTTATTAAGCTGATAAGTTCTTGCACACAAAACTGTTGAACCTTTCATATCGATATATAACCAAAATTGGTCACAAAACTGTTAGTAATCAGTTCATCATAATTGGTCACCTGAAAGCTGTTTATGCAGCAGAAGTTACATGGCTCTTTAATGTCTCAGCATAATCTGGTACTTCCTCCATTTCATAATGTAAGTCATTCTAGCATTGTCCACATTCATATAGATATTAATAAATCCAAACATATATGTGTCTAGATTCATTAACATCTACATGAATGTGGACAATGCTAGAAAGTCTTACATTATGAAACGGAGGGAGTACAATTCATATAAAATAACAAAACACATATAAATAGAGGACTATTGTTGTTCCTGTTTTATTCAATCATAGCAAACAACTCAACAAAGTTAAGTTGGATTAATGTACCATATGATGGCTTTACTTGTCAGAGTGGAATCCCCCCATGTGAAACTTTCGTCTTCTCTTTTCCTTCCAGGCCATGATGGCTCCTTCAGTGGCTGCTGCAGCTCTTCAGCCTCCTGTCCCAGGGCAATATTTTGGGAACAGGCCGTCTTTTTCATATAATGTAGTCTCGCATGCTAATGCTGGCTTGCCTACTGGTCAGCAGTTTCAACTTGACACCGTAATTCCTCATGTCTTTATTGCTAGCATTAATATTGAACATTTTTATTTGTCCATTTTACTTAATGATCTGAATCCTCTTCTCTGACTCACTGACTGACTGTTGATGCTTTCTTTTCTTCCAGGGCACAAACCATGCTGTCCAAGTTTCACGGTTTGTTCCACCATCATCCTTGCAACCTCCAGCTCCTATGAATTTAGCTCGCCCAAGTTCAGCATTTCCAGGAGCAGGAGCTATGCCACCAAATCCTCCTGGATCTATTCGCTTGCCATTTCCAGGTCCACCCAGACCATCCATCAATACTTTTGTTGCAAGCCCACAACAGGCACAGCCCCAGGCATCTCAGTTACCTTCAAACAGTGTATATGCTTCGACCAACTTTCTTTTATATGCGTGGGTTATAATGATCAATTTACTAATAATTTTGAATTATTACAGGGGAGCTCAGATGTTAGCACTTCCAGGTCTGATACTCGAAGTGTCCCAGAGGCTAGTCCCCAGACCATGCAGTTGTCGACAGGCCCACCATCAACAAGTACTGCTGGAAGTCCTTCAATCACTGTTCAGATGCCAACAAATCCATCACTTCCAACTCGCCCGGAGGTTTTTGGGGCCATTGGTGCTTCTGTACCTGGACAACCTTCCACAATCTTGTCTGCTCCACCAAGCCTCCTTGGGAGACCTATGACTCCATCTGCTTCTCCTTTTCCCCAAACATCGCAGTCTCCAACTGCTTTTCAACAGCCTGGTCAGCAACAGTTGTACCCCTCCTATCCTTCAGCACATGGGGTTCAACCTCAGCCTCTATGGGGATATCCCCCACAGCCTACTGGTTTTCAGCAACCCCCCTTCCAATCATACCCATCTGGTCTTCTAGGGCCTCTTGGTAGGCCGATGGTTGGGAGTTCTTCTGTGACTGCATACTTGCCAAGCATACAACCACCCGGTGTCTCAACAACTGACAGGGATTCCAAGGAGCTATCATCAGCAAATCCTGGATCTGAGCAGCCCACTCGTGCGTTAGCTTAACTTTCATCAACTGGGACAGTTTTACTTAATTTGATGATCAGTATTAGTGGTCCAGTTAATTCTTGTGATCTTTTGTATGCTGCAGAACAGGGAAGCCAAAACAGCGATCAGCTCGAGGACAAAAGAACTACTGCCATTCAGGATTCAGATTCATGGTCTGCACACAAGACAGAGGCTGGTGTTGTATATTATTACAATGCCTTGACTGGAGAATCAACTTATCAAAAACCACCTGGTTATAAAGGGGAGGTAGTTGCACAGAGGAATAGCTGTATCAAGTAATATGACTTAATTCTAGTCTACGGCATAGCAATTTAGCATCACAATTTAACTAATTTATTTCATTCGTTTTCCTGCAGCCTGAGAAGGTCGCAGCCCAGCCAGTTCCAGTTTCTTGGTACGTTAGTGTGAGAACTTCCTATATTCTTTGCTATCTTTAACAGATTTTATAACAGAAATTATATATTCTCTTGTGAGGGTTGTAACTGGTTAAGTCACCTTTTGAAATTGGTTTCTGTTTTCCACACAATTAGGAGTGCTACAACTTATTTGGGACAACCGATTTTGGTGACATTGTTACATGATTTCTGGTAACCTGCACAATAGCCAAAAAGTTAGCAAAATTCATGTTTGACATGGATAGTAAGACAAGAAATCCCTAAAGCTTTACTTTTTTTTAAAAAAAGAAAAAGATCTAACATTATCTTGCATTTTTGAAACTACTATAAATCTTGCTTTAATTTGGTATTTCTGAAACTGAAAATGGTGTTGACTGCAAGACTACCTAACATGCTTGGTACTCATTATTTAGGCTTAGTTTGTCCCAACAGTTTGGCTGGAGCTGATGACTGCTAAGAAAACGGGGCAGATCTAATGCACATTATTAATTAAGTGTTAACCATTGTAAATTTGAAAAATGGATTTATTTGATTTTTGTGAAAAACTTCTATATTGAATTTTTTTGCACAAAACACACCGTTTAGCAGTTTGGGACTAACAGAAAACGAGGAAGTTGCCACAACTAGTTGCTCTACCGAACTAGGCCTTGATAAGTGTAGCGGCTGATTAGTTGTATATCTATGGTGCTTGTTTAACAAATACTTTATAGGCCACAAATGTCATCATGCTCATGCAACTAGGGACGAGAATGGTTGGAAAAATCGTTTCCAGAACCATATTTTTCTTGAAAACGGAATTGAAAACATAGAGATGGAAATCAAAACAACATTGGAACTATTGGAATATAACTATTGGCAAGCAAATCACAGTATGTTTACATTATAAATTCGCATCACTTGCAATTGTTGTTGAACATTCAAAGAAGGGTGTAAGTAATTTAAAATATGCCATGATGATGCACAAGGGTTTAGGCTAAGGTATATTTTATTCTGATGGGTTGTCAGAACTATACCGTATTTTTCCAGAATTATGGATGAAAATGGTATACTGGTAGTTTCCTTTTCATAGTCTGTACAAAACAAAACGATAGGCGGAATGGTCGGGAATTTCCTGTAGGTTAGCCGCTTTCTAAGTTACTTGACCACATATGTTCTCATTGTGTTCAAAATAAGTCTAATTATGCAGAATGATACTATGTGAGATCATTTTTTCATTTCGAGCATATATGAATGATATTTTGTTGCTCAAAGCCTTCTAGTAGTTCATTCATTAATGTTCTCATATGGCACCAAGTTGATGAATAAATTTGCATGTTTCCTTAATTAGCTAAAGAAAAAAAAAATCTAGAATTGAGCTTTCTCAAACAGGTCTGTGATGTTTTTCAAAAAGTAGAAGTTGCAATATTTATGAATGCTGCTATTATTTTTGGCTTTTGCTCTTTCCCTCTTTACCCATATAAATGTCTTGATCTGTTATTCTGTTCTTGCTCATAAATTTCGTGCCACATGAAAAATTAAACACCTCACTTCGACAGGGACAAACTGGCTGGCACTGACTGGAGCATAGTAACGACAAGTGATGGAAAGAAATATTACTATGATAATAAGCTAAAGGTAAGGCCTATATTATGACATAATCTCAATATTGAATGTCTATGTAGGTATTTCAATGCCACGACTTCACAAGAACTTATATATAAGTATATAACTCATTTCTAAAACTGAACAGGTTAGCAGCTGGCAGCTTCCACCAGAGGTGGCTGAGCTCATCAAGAATGCCGAGTCTGGTCCATTGAAAGGAAGTTCAACTTCGCTGCAAGATGCTGGCACGATAGGGAATAAAGAGGAAATAAGTATTGATATTGATACTCCTGCTGTACAGACAGGTGGCCGTGATTCGTTGCCACTTCGACAAACAGTTGCCCCTGCATCGTCTTCTGCTTTGGATTTAATAAAGAAGAAATTGCAGGATGCTGGCGCTTCCAGTGTGCCTTCACCTCTTGCTACTCCATCTAGTGCATCCGAGCTGAATGGGTCTAAAACAACTGATGCTGCACCTATGGGACATCAAGTCTCAATTAGCGGCGAGAAATCAAAAGATAACAGTGGTGATGGTAATATGTCAGATTCCTCTTCAAATTCAGATGATGAGGAACATGGCCCAAGTGAAGAGGAGTGTACTCGTCAGTTTAAGGTGGTATTTTCACTTCTGACTGAGCCTTTTGTTTGTCATTGAAATTTTCCATGTTATCACTTTACATTAGTTCTGTTTGGTCATTACTGTTTTGTAGTGGTCTGCAATTTACGGTTTGCTTTATAATTTTCTTAGACAGCTTTTGGTTTTCTATTTTGTGTAGTTGGATAATTAGGATAGCTGTGCCTCAGTTCTATATGAAATCATGAATAGAACTAGCTGATTTTTTGACGAATGGATTGCATGACCTAAATGAGTTTTTTAATTTCACAGGAGATGTTAAAGGAAAGAGGTGTATTGCCATTTTCAAAGTGGGAAAAGGAACTCCCAAAAATAGTGTTTGATCCACGTTTTAAGGTTTGTTTTTCTTGGCATTTTGTACAGTTTTGTAGACTTGTTAATTTTTTTTCTTAGCGTTGCCTATGACTTGGCATACTATCACTTATGCTGTTGACCTGTTGTAAAATTATGCTATGGTTACCTTGGGTGTCGGAAACATTTTTCACCTGTAATGCATGATGTCATGTGCAGTTTCTGGTGGTTGATTATTTACCTTTGTTACTCGTATAGGATGTATTATCTTGATCTTAGTAAGTTGTACATAGATGCCTGTTAACTTTTGTTCAGGAAATTTGGGAAAAAACATAACGCACATTCATTTGATTTATGAGACTTCAAAATTCCAGCCGATTAGGAAAAAAAAACTGGACTATGTATTTGATGTGTCCTACTTAGAAGAACTAAATGCTTACACAGTAACACTTCATTTTTTATAGTGTTTAGTAAATATACTTTACTTTTATTGGCCTACTGCTGTGTCGTACCTTTATACAGTGGCAGTGCTAAACTGCTAATCCTATAAATTATAGGACAGGGTCTACTTGGCCCCCTTCAGTATAAAACGAAGCATTTTACTCCCTAAACTCAAAATGATCTAAATAACCCCTAAGATGCCGTGGTTTTGAAGGTAGTTTTGCCACCTGGCGAGTGACATGGCTGACACATAGCCATCACTTAAGGCTAATTTTTTTTTAATCAAGGTCCATGTGTTATACAGTTAAGATTATTTTGCCATGCAAAACATTCATGGGGGTTCCGAGAGTGGCATGAGAACTAATTGAAATATTTTTAGTTGCTGAGTTTGCGAGGAAGGCAGATATCATCTCTTATTTGTCAAAACCATGGCTGCTAAGGTGATAAGGTGAGGCAAAGTCACCGCCTTACAGCCTAAGTGGTAAGGTGAAGGCAAGGCAACACGTAAGACAAGGCCATACCTTATACACAGCTGAAAAGAAGAAAAGATAAAAAATATGGGCTATAAACAACACATTACACACTAAGGCTCAAACCTAACAGCCCATGTAAAGCACCAAACCAGTCCACATGTTATCCTTTCCCACTCCCGCAGCCTCCTAGCCTGGCTCCCCTGTGTCTTCTAACCTAGCTGCCACAACAACGAGCAGCAATGGTGTCATGGCACTATATCAAAGGCAGAGCAGAAGGGAAGGGAGAGGAGTAAATCGGTGCTAAGCAATGGAACACTAAACTTGGCAATAGGATGAGGATGATGGGCTGGATTGGGCGATGCTAAGACAGCAAGGTCACTGGCGGTGAGGCGGTGGGGAGGATGGTAGAACAAATCCACATTAGGATGGATGCACTACTGTCTATGTTGCCTTCTCCTCTGCTCTCTCTCTCTCTCCCCTGGTTGTGCCCACAAGGTGGAGGGATGCCTTGATCCCTGAATTTTCCTTAACATCTAAGCGGTGCCTCAGCGACTATGGTCAAAACCACTCCATGCCACACAGGTCATGTGGCCAAACTACCTTCAAAACCACACTAGCAGTTATTTAAACAGTTCAGCATTTTGCATTGTTCAGGAGGCACAAATGCATAATATGTAGTTTTATGCTTTAGGGTGGAGGGTGGGATTGGGAAATAGAAATGAATGAAGGGTTGGGATAAACTGAGGTGAGATGAATTGATGGTAGAGATTATATCCTGTCCTTTGGAGGGTGGGATAACATTTTCCTAACCCTTTTTCCAAACATGCCCTAGGTGTTAAGTAGACTTTTTCCTTAGTTTAGTAATATGATGTTTATACTAGATTGTCCGTCACAGGCTATTCCAAGTCACTCGAGGAGACGGTCTACATTTGAGCAGTATGTTCGGACACGTGCTGACGAGGAGCGGAAAGAGAAAAGAGCTGCTCAGAGAGCTGCAGTGGAGGCGTATAAACAGTTACTAGAAGAAGCATCCGAGGTTCGTTATTGATACTTTCTGAAAAGTTGTTTGAGTTTTTCACATGAACTTACTTTGATGTGCGATAATTGCCAAATGGATCCAGTTTTCTGTCCTGTATACTTGCTTTTTTTTTAGGGTCATACCATCTTAATACATAAAATGCAGGACATCAACTCCAATAAGGATTACAAGGAATTCAAAAGAAAATGGGGCACTGATCCAAGGTTTGAAGCCTTGGACCGAAAAGAAAGGGATGCTCTTTTCAACGAGAAGTATGCACACCCTTCTATTAACATTTTTGAATATCAATTTTTAAATCATATTAGTTCATGTACTATACTTGACGCATTTCCAATTTTCCACAGGGTGAAATCGATTGAAGAGAAAGTTCAATCAGTGCGCAATGCTGTGATAGCTGAGTTCAAATCAATGCTTCGAGAAAGTAAAGACATAACCTCTACTAGCCGTTGGACCAAAGTAAAGTCCTTGTACTCTTATCACCATACAAGTAAACATGTTGTGCCAAAAGATGAAAGAGGCAGATCTTATTCATGAAAAAAATGGCATTCAATTTACCCTGCAACGACCTTGTTGTATACATCTACAGATTATAAAATACAGTGGCTGCATGATACTTCCAGGGTGTTGTCCTTGTCAGTTTTCAGTCCTGTTATGTTCTAATCATGATAGCAGGAATGTGTTCAATCTCTTATTGTGTTTAAATTATTTTTTCTAGTTGTGATACTTCATATTATTATTTGCATGCCTTAGGGATTAACCGAGTTCCTTTGAATGCCGACCAACGATTTAGGGAGTTGGCCTTTTAACAACTACTCCCTCCATTCCAAATTGATCTACATATAGTTTTTTTGAGGTTATTCCTAAATGATCTACATATTTGTGTTCATTCATTAAGTCTATTCGTTATTTGTGCATTGGAGTAAATGGACATTGATGCATGCATCCATGCATACAAGTATTTATAACCCACATGCAATATCTTGATTTCCTATTGGCTAGGAAATAGTGGGGATGGTGCATGCATTGAGTTTGTTGCTAGAGTAAATATAGTATGAGAGAGTTATTAGTTTTTCTTGGTCTTGGTGTACCTATGAAATATGTAGATCAATTTGGAATGGAGGGAGTATTGTACTGGTGGTCTAGTGTAACCTTTCTTTTATACAAGTCTTTAACATCCTGATATGTTCTGAATGGACTTCAATGAAGCATGAAGGTCTGATCTGTCATGATAATTGATCATCTAACTTGCATGTGGTCATGCGTATCTGTTCTTATGGTATCTTTTAAACCATAACTCCAACTTTTACTTGGATGGTATCTTTTAGTGTATTAGGACTACAGTACTACTCCCTCTGTTTCACAGTGTAAGTCATTCTAGCATTTCCCACATTCATATTGATGTTAATGAATCTAGACATATATATTTATCTAGATTCATTAACATCATATGATGTGAAGTAGAATGACTTACATTGTGAAACGGAGAGAGTACACAGTAACATTTTAAAGTTGCTCACTGTACACAACTCATGAGTTAAGTACTAGTGTATTACATCATGCAGGTGAAAGAAAATTTCCGGAGCGATGCAAGGTACAAAGCCATGAAGCACGAAGAAAGAGAGGTTGCTTTTAATGAGTACATAGCAGAACTAAAATCCGCTGAAAAGGAAGCAGAGCAAGCTGCCAAGGCCAAACTGGATGAACAAGTCAGTCAATTTAACTGATGTACTCTGATGCTTTGTTTACTGAATGTAGCTTTGTAGCTTCACATATACTATGTAATAACCCAGGCCAAGTTAAAGGAGAGGGAGCGCGAGATGCGGAAAAGGAAAGAAAGGGAAGAACAGGAAATGGAGAGAGTAAAATTGAAGATCCGAAGAAAAGAGGCCGTGTCTTCATATCAAGCTTTACTTGTTGAAATCATAAAAGATCCCAAGGTAACTTGACACTTTGTTGAACTCCATTTGACAAGCTATTTTGCTATGTACTGTACAACTTCATATTAACTATGCTATTTTTTCTGCATAGGCATCATGGACAGAATCCAAACCAAGACTTGAAAAGGATCCACAAGGCCGTGCAGTAAATCCTGATTTAGGTAAAGGTGATGCAGAAAAGTTATTTCGTGACCATGTCAAGGACCTGTATGAGGTAATCAAAATGCTGTTATTGCCTGTAGTTTTCACATAGAATTTTAAATTGCTTTATATCCTAGCTGGGTACTTATTGAGGGTTTGCATGATGGGCCCTGAGCCTTAGACCTTTTCTTAATTCCTACATGCAGCATCCCCCAGACATTTGCACCATTAAACTCTTATGCATTGGCACATACGTCAGGCACACAGCCTGCTTGATGGAATATTGATGTAACATGTAAGGAAACATACTGTGTTTGTAATAATACTGATTTAAGTGAGCATACTGTATTCTTCCAGGGGTGTCAATGCATGCATTTGTTTGAGCTTGGATGGCTGTCTCAGTTGCTTGAATAAATTATCTTCACTTAATCATATATCGTTGGGTTTCCATTGCAATCTATTTATCATGTGAGCTTTGGATGTTCATTGCATGCCTTTTTAATTCTGACCTGCTGCTATAATTTTTCCTCCAGCGATGTGTTCGGGATTTCCGTGCGCTCCTATCTGAGGTGATAACTCCAGAGATAGCTGCTCGAACAACAGATGAAGGAAAGACTGCAATTAACTCCTGGACCGAAGCAAAAGGTCTTCTAAGATCTGATCCTAGGTACAACAAACTGGCAAGTAAAGACCGGGAGTCTATTTGGCGGCGCTATGCGGACGACATGAAGACAAAACTTAAACAGTCAGATATGAAGGAGAGATCAGATACAGATGGAAAGCAGCGTAGGTCCTCTGATCCGCCAAGGCGGAGATAGCTTTTAGAAATGCCCACCTGTAATTCGCTACTCAACATTATTGTTAACAGTAGTTCAGATTCTGTTTACACTTGTAACAATGAGGGCGTCAAATTAACTGGAAATTTTGAAGCATCCATGTTCTGTGAGTTTTTTGGCCATTCAATTCTATGAGCCGTGCATCCAGATTGCAGTACAAATTCCCAACAGTAGGTTTTTGAATTACAAATGCATCTCGTTGTTTACATGTATGTCCGAATGTAGTGATGCTAACTAGTGAGGAATCTGGTTGCTCTCTGTTAGTATTCTTACCGAGAGCTTACTAAGTGCGTTGTTGCAGTTCCTACACGTACCTAGTATGTTTATTTGATTTATCTGGATGCTTATTCGATATATCTGAAAATTGAGCCGTTTCCTGTAGAAAGTTCTGAGTTGGAACCAAAGTGGAGCGACGGTTAACCCAATGCAGGTTCACATAATCGTGCACGTTCCAGATCGGGCTATTGCATTTCTACTGTGTAGGTCTGGAAAGGAAGATTTATTTTTTTTATAACAAAGATTCCTGTATAAAATAAACTGATTTCTACGAAATTTCTATAAAATAGTTACTCCTTCGTAAATTTCTGTGAAATTTGTTTCAAAAAATCATTCAAATTTATGTGAAATTTATATATTTAAAGCATTCTCCATTCTCCACCATAGACTACCCTACCTAGCACGAGATGTCGACTACCACTTTTAACTGGAGTAGCCAACAAGAGCCTCTCCCCCAAACGTCCAAACCCTAGCTCGCACAGGAAAGAGAAGGGAGAAAAAAAAGTTGGGGGGATCGGACCCAAACCCTCCCAAACCCCATTCCTCTCAACCATGGCTTCCCTCCTCCGCCGCCACCGCCACCCCCACCCGCTCCCCGCCGCCCACCTCCTCCGCCGCTTCTCCGCGCTCCCCGACGTCGATCACCCGCCGCCGCCCGCCTCGACCCCCACCACCCCCGCCTCCACGCGCTCCCCCATCCTCGACCTCCAGCTCGCCGTCCGCGGCGAGGCCGACCCGGCCCGCATCCACTCCCTCGTCGCCACCGCGCTCTCCCGCCCCGACGACTACCCGCGCCTCCACGGCTCCCGCCCGCTCTTCTCCCTCGCCGCCTCCCGCCTCGCGCGCCTCCGCCGCCCGGACCTCGCCGCCTCGCTCCTCCGCGCCCTCCTCGACTCCGCCCCGGCGTCCCCGGGCCTCCTCGCCCGCGCCATCTCCCTCTTCCCGGGCCCCGACGACGCCCTCCGCGCGTTCTCCGACTCCGCGCCCGCCGCCCGCTCCGACGTCTCCCTCTCGGCGCTCCTCTCCGCGCTCTTCCGCGCCGGCCGCGTCGACGACGTCAAGTCCACCCTCGCCTCCGCGGAGACCTCCTTCGGCGTCGCCCCCGGACGCGCCTCCCACAACGTGCTCCTCCACGCTCTGGTGAAGAACTCCGAGCTCGCCGCCGCCCGCAAGCTGCTCGGCGAAATGGCCAAGAAGCTAAAGCACCGCCCGGCCCCTGACATCGTGTCGTACAACACCGTGCTCGCTGGCTATTCTGCGCAGGGCGATGAGGAGGGGTTTGAGAAGCTACTGAAGGAGATCAGCGCAAAGAAGCTGGAGCCGAATGTTGTGACTTACAACTGCCGGATACAGTGGTTTGCCAAGAAGGGTGAAACCTTCAAGGGGGAGGAGCTGCTTGATGCCATGGAGTCAAAGGATGTGGCGCCGAATTACCTTACGTACAATGCGCTTGTGCAGGGGTACTGCAAGGAGGGGAATGTTGGGTCAGCCATGCGTGTGTTCAAGAGGATGAAAGTGATGAAGAGGAGGGAGGGTAGGAGTGACTTGGGTGTGTCAGCGCATTCGCAAACATATGTGGTGCTGTTCAGGAGCTTGGTGGAGAAAGAGAGGCTTGATGATGCTCTATGGATTTGTAAGAGCTGCTTTGCGATGAAGGCAGCACCACCCTTTGAGGCAGTCAAGGGTTTGGTTGAGGGATTGGTGAAGGGTGGGAAATCTGCAGAGGCAAAGGATGTTGTCGCCAAGATGAACCTTCTTGTGAAAGGTGATGCTAAAGTGGCTTGGGAGAAGATTGCTGGTGAATTGTCCCTTGAAGGAACACCTAGTTCAAATCCATGATTTGCTTGAGGAATGTATGTCACTGTGTCACTTCTGATAAAATCATATGTTTTGGCCCTTGAATAATGCTGATGAAGAACTTCCAGATGGAATCTAGTGTTTTCGTTGCGTTATCATGGGGCTGTTTTTTCGAGTTCCAATGTTTAGATCAGAATGTAACAGATGAATCTATAAAGTGGAATTTAAGAAGTGGTATTTTGTAATCCCTTCAACGTAAGAACCTCTTTTTTTCCCCCTTTCTTTCGTTTTTTTAATAATATTTGAGAAGGATGTTTAAACATGTTGAAGTGAACTCATGATGCATGTACTATCAGCCACTGTAATATGTTTTTTTGTACTTCAGTGCACTTCAGAATAGTGGAAAGATTATGGTATGCTTGATGTCTTAAACAATATTTGTTCTGCTTATTTATTCTTTTGAGAGGAAGGTAGTTGGACTATCACATTACTTTTCTCACGTTATGCCATTTGTGTAGCCACTAGAAATTCATATAAATACTCTTGCAAATTACTATACATGACAATGTAACAGGATGCAATGTATTGCCTGATATTTTTTCAAGTATCTTGCATTCAAACTAGAGTACCTCACATTGTTTGATACATAAAACATAGATTACAGTAAAACAATAACTATGTAGTGCACAGATGCTGTCAAGACATCTATGCTCCTTATGAGATGTTTCAAGTTCATACTATATACTTAACCTGGAAATGGTATGTTTGTGATTCTTCCATCTAGCTGAAAGTCTTCTTGGACCCCTTTCAGTCTCAGTTAATGCCTCGAACTAGCATTCCTTCAAATGTGATGCCTGGGCCAAAAGCCAAGATCAGTCCCCATTCTTCCCTTATCATCCCTTTCTTCAACTCATCCCTCAAATACTCCAACACATAGAAGACGGTGTTGCTGCTCACATTACCATAGTTCATCAGGGCCTTTCTACTGATCTTGAGCTTCTCTGGCTGGAGTTCAAGGCAAACCTCTAGCCTGTTCAGTATTGCTGGACCACCAGGATGCACAGCCCAGAATACATCATTGAACTCCTTTATCCCAACCCGATCCATGAGTGTCCTGCAGAACCCTTCTATACGGTTTTCAATCTTTTCGGGCAAATCACGCCCCAGTTTGAAATTAATCCCTTCCTCAGTGATCTTGCCATCAATTACCTTGTCCGTCCCTGGTAGGAACTCCTGTGTTGAGAACTGAAGCTCTAGGAAGGGACTCTCCTCAGCAGCAATGGGGCCTGCTCCAATGATCGCAGCTGATGCGCCGTCACCAAACAGGGCAGCACCAACAAGATCGTAAGGACGGTCAGGACTTGGTGGCCGGAATCCCAGCACCGTCGTCTCCGCGGCTACTACAAGGACGCGGCTCCCTGGGTTGTTCTCAGCAATGTCCTTGGCGGTGCGGAGCGCGGCAGCGCCACCGGAGCAGCCAAGGAAGAGAAGGGAAGTGCGGACGGTGTTTGGATGGAGGCCAAGGCGAGTTGCCAGGAAAAGGTCACCCCCTGGGAGGCGAAGCTCACTGGACGAGATGTAGACAAGGTGGGTGATGTCAGCTGCTGGACGCCCCCATTCACCAAGGGCGGCACGGGCTGCAGTAGCACCAAGCTCAAGCACTGCAGCATTGCAGATGTCAAGCCGTGGCGTCAGTGTTGGAGTTCCCTCAGTCCTGAGCTCTGGGTGCTCGTCTAGGAGCTCCTTTGACATGACAGTGTACCTTGTCCTCACTGTGGTGGTCTTGCCTGTAAAAAAAAAATCAAATTGTAGGAAAATAAGTACCCACAATTTTGTGCATTGGAGGGACTGTGCAAGTCATGACAGAACAAATTCAAGGTATATATATTGTGATTATCTCCTATAACTCTTATTTTGTCAGCCCTTGGCCAAGCCAGAAAAATGGCAACTAAATTTGTGTTGTGCTTATTTGTACTGCAGACTATAATCCAAAATGATTTTGAACTTTGATTAAGAATAATTCTAGGTTGAATTTTTACATGTCCCCTTAGCAATCATGAAAAGAAAGCTGACCAATAAAAGTGATGAAGAAAACCCATACAATGAATATCTAAAATTCAATATCATATTTGGACTATAATCCAAAGACTTGCCAAGCAGCATTGTAGTGATTTTCCTAGAGCCAAGTGCTCCTGTAAGTTAGGGAGTACTTATCATGTGCACATGTTGTTTACTAATTACAATCTGTTGCCTTTTTCACTGTAATAATTTCATTTTCCACACCCTACTGATTTTTGTTAAGCAGAAGTGCTACTAAAATTTAGTAGTACTGATGATCATGTGCCCATTTTCACTAAACGATGATCTATTTATCTTTCTCATTCTACTAGTTCCATTATCAACCTATGATGATTAATAGTCTCAGATGCATAAAAATAAAGCTAGATTCTACACACAGTGATGCAGCCAAGCCAACAAACAACAATCTTTTGATAACTCAGGGTCCAGTTATATTTTTCAGGAGAGCTAAGCCAACTATGTTGGCTTCTGAAAATTCTCAAACCTAGAAAGCAGGATGTAAAATACCAAGTGACATGAACAAAACTCACAAAGTCTTTCCAGCTTTGCCCTTGTTGCAGGATCGTCGCAGATGGTGTCCTGGAGGTAGGTCTCGACGACCTTCTCCTGGGGAAGAACTTGCTCAGGGAGGCCCTTGCCGAGGGCGAGCAGCATCGCCTTCCCCCTGGAGCATTGGCTCCTGCTGCCATTGCCACTCCTGGCATCGCCGAATCCAAGGTCAGCCATCTTCGCCACCCGGTATCCTTTCGCCTCAGTAGTCAGCAAGTATTCTAGTCCTGTGATTTCGCTGTGTGACAGTGCAATCGCAGCATGCTTTGTGGTGTGCTTTAATAGGGGAAGATTTTGCAACTCCTGGAGGTTGTTTGGATTCAGGATTGCAGGGGACGACGGCATGAGGGAAGACTACAAAGCTTAGTAGGTTGCAGACTGGTTTGTTTTCTGCTGTCATTTTTTCTGTTGGGGGGAGCAGAAGGTTCATTCCTTCCACCCTTCTTTGGTTTTACCCTGCATTTTTGCTGCCCATCCATTCGGTGTGATCTCTGTTACAAACTTACAGTACAACCGTTTGTTAGGTGATGAAAACTATTGTTGACTAACAAGGCTAAAAATCTTTGAGCAAAGTGGGGTTTTTAGTTGATGCTGCATGCTGAATTTCTCCATGATTCCGAGCTAAAAACAGCGTCTCAGCTCGCGAGCTGGCTTGTTGACGAGCTTTATCTCATGCATATTACTTTTATCATTTTAAATTCATCGTATGTTAATGTAATAAAGTTATTACGAGTAAAGCATTCACTTAAATACAAGATACTAACTAAGACCAGGTACAATAGTAGACTATAAGCTAACTACAAACATATTTTAAGAAAATAAAAGAGAGGAGAAGAGCAGAGAGCTATAGATTTGTAGCCAGCTGCCGTACGGACTCCAAGACGTAATGTATACGACGGGTGGGACCATGTATTAATAGTATAATATATGTTTATATATAACTATTGTATGAATTGACTATAAATGATTTGGAGCTAGTAGTTAGCTGTACTATTAAACTTGCTCTAAAGGATTAGGTTGAGTTCTTTTCTTCACTTTCCCAACTCACCTCTCTCGTTTTCCGCGTGTACGCTTTTCAAAATCCTAATAGATGTGTTTTTTTTAAAAAAAGTTTCATATGAAAGTTTTTTTTAAAAATATTTTTTTTCGCGAACGCGCAAAAGGATTGCACATCAATATATTAAAAGAAAAGAATGTTATACAACGCAATCATTCAGACCAACTTATGTCAAGGGAAGGAAGAAAAAAAAACCAAGAAAAAGGGAAGAGATAACTATGACAGCTAAACGCAACTTCAACCAGCGGGAAGGGGGTGTAACCACACTACCCTCCTAAAAAAACCCCAAAGAATCAACGCCAGCTAACGACTATAGATGGCCCTCTGAGAGGATGGACTCTAGAATCACTGAAACCGAAGAGAGTGTAGAGTCGAAAATCTTGGAGTTCCGTTCCTTCCACCCAAGAGACCAGTAGGACCAGAGAGTCGAAGCCGGCACGGAGATGCTCAGGTAAGCATGCCCTAGAAGATGGCCACCAGTCCTGGAGCCAGTTGCCACGGGGAGGAGAGAGGGCAACCCAACCAAGAGGCGACAGCACACGGAGCTAGACCTGCTGCGTGAACACGCAATCGAGGAGGATGTGATTCGTCGTCTCAAGCTCCTGAGCACAAAAGTTAGTTTCCTAATAGTTAATTAATTATACATTAATAAACCACCAAGTTTTTCGTGCGGAGACTCCACCTCCCGAACATAATCTAAGTAGCCAATACGATGATATTCTGTAGTATCAAGATAAATGAGTGGTTTGCGAGATGGGCACCGGCAGCGTTGGCTGTGAAAACCGGCAAGCGACTGCCTCCCTCAACAAAGCCTTTCACTCCGTTCTCATATTACGAAGCAGCATAAACGTTTTTCACACATACTTGGACGAAATCTCTCGTAATTCTTGTTCTGGATACAAACTTGGGCCAAACACCTTAGTGAAACTCTGATAACCCTAGTACTTCCTCCGTTTCATATTATAAGACTTTCTAGCATTGCTCATATTCATATATATATTAATGAATTTAGACATATATGTGTGTCTAGATTCATTAACATCTATATGATTGTGGACAATGCTAGAAAAGTCTTATAATAAAATAGAAGTGGTAAAAAACTACGACTAATTATAAGCCATAATACATATTAACGAGAAAAATAAATAAATTTGCTGAATTGTCAGCGGCTCAATGGCAGTGGAGGCGTAGAACTGTAGAAGTGTATCTTATCCAGAACGCCGGAGACGCGAGCGCTGCGAGCAAGCGCAATGGAGGCGAAGCTGTCGGCGGCGTCGAGGCGGGTGGCGCCGTCGCCCATCCAGCAGCTCTCCCACCTGGCGCAGCGCGCCGGCGCCGTCAACCTCGCCGAGGGCTTCCCCGACTTCCCGGCCCCCGCCCACGTCAAGGCCGCCGCCGCCGCCGCCATCGCCGCCGACCTCAACCAGTACAGGTTAACCCCTCTTCTCCCCTCCCCTCGCGAGCCCCGTTCTACTTAACCACGCCTAGTGACATCAACGCGTGCTCGGTGCTCTACCCAAGGCATGTGCAGGGGATCTGCGACGCCCTCGCGGAGACGATGAAGCGGGACCATGGCCTCCGCGTCGACCCTCTCACCGACTTCGCCGTTTGCTGCGGCCAGTCTGAGGCGTTTGCTGCAGCGATATTTGCAAGTAGTACACCACTGCTGCAACCGAATGGCATTCAGTGATTTTTCTGTATGAGCCACACTGCCATTGGATTGGTGATGCTTAATTAAGACGATTTTTGATGCAGTAATTGACCAAGGGGATGAAGTTTTGCTCTTTGATCCAGCTTTTGAAACCTATCAAACGTGCATTGAACTAGCCCGAGGTGTCCCTGTAAGTCTTTTCTTTAACTCTTAGATTCTTTTCCTATCTAGAAGAATATGGTACTATCTATCTACAAGAATGGTACATTGTTTTATCGGAAATTAGTTAGCGATTTATGTATCCCTGTATATACATGTTAGGTGTATGTGCCGTTGGATCCACCTTCTTGGACTTTGAATGAAGATAAATTTTTGAAATCATTTACAAACCGGACAAAGGCAGTGGTCTTGAATAGGTGATTGATTCCCATCAGTATTCGAGGAGAATAAGCTTTTATGAATGTAACGATGGAATGTGTCTCGGTAATTGGAGCTGTTTGTGGAACGCATTTTCTTATGGGAACCGTATAATTTCTTTGACTTGTGACATGGCTAAATCTCACAACTGCAGCCCGCACAATCCAACAGGAAAGGTTTTTAGCAGAGAGGAATTGCTTATCATTGCTCAAGCTTGTCAGAAAATGGACTGCTTTGCAATAACTGATGAGGTAGGACTGTGACTAGCTGTAAAGACTTAATCAGCATTTATCGATAAACCTATGGAAGAAATTTTCATCAGTCTCTCTCTCTCTATCTTCTAAATATATCTGAATATCTTCCAGGTTTATGAGTACATTACTTACGATGAGAACAAGCATATCTCATTGGCTTCGCTTCCAGGAATGCAAGAAAGGACCATCATTACTTCCTCACTGTCAAAAACTTACAGCGTAACTGGTGAGCAGAACTCAAGTTTGCACACTGCAATGCAATCAACTACTTGTGAGACGTTTGGGACATATGAAGATTCTGTTGTCTAAACTGGCTAGGTTGGAGAATTGGATGGGCTTGTGCTCCAGCTAATATCGCCTCAGCAATAAGAAACATCCATGTCAAGCTAACTGATTCAGCCCCTGCACCATTCCAAGAAGCTGCGTTGGTTGCGTTAACAAGCCCACCAGACTTCTATTCATCCTTGAAACAGGTGATACTTGCCCTCCAGTTATACTCCCAATTTACTATGGTTCTATCAAAATTAATATAGCTCATATGATGTAACTGTCATTACTTTGGAAGGACTACACGGCGAGAAGAGACTTCATCCTTCAGGTGCTTACTGATTTTGGCTTCCGCATTAGCTTCAAGCCACAAGGCTCGATCTTTGTATTTGTTGAGCTTCCAAGGTCATGGCAACTTTCAGATGTGAGTCTCTTATTCATTTTTTTTTAAAAGAATGAGTTTCTTCTTCTTACAGAACTTCAATACTATGACTTGGAAAATGCCACAATTATCTGAGAATTATTGAAGCATTTGGAATGAATAAAATGACCAGCTGTTGTCTAATACAATTGGTGCAATGCAGATGGATTTCGTGACGAACTTGATAAAAAATGCTGGTGTGGCGGCCGTGCCTGGTCGGGGATTCTTCCACTCAAGTACCGACGACCCAAGCTACCATCACCGGTATGTCAGGTTTGCGTTTTGCAAGAGCAATGACACCCTAAACGCTGCTGCCGAGAAGATGAGGAAGCTAGCAGTCAGTCATGATGCAAGGTTATTGAGGCCTACTGATGATGGAGAAGCAGGTCAGACTGCATCAGCCACCTCTCCTTGATCACAGCCATAGTATCTGCGTTCCAAATGTTATTTTGCTTTAATTTTTGGGGAACCATCAAGCATTCAAGTTGCAGGGTAGAAGTTTGTTTTAATCAACCGTAGTATAAGTAAACATTTAAGTCAGAAGATGACTGTCCTGGTAAGTGTTTAAGCCCAAATGGGTTGCCTTCATTTTTTATGCAATCCAAACAGTTCTTAAAAATCTGAAAAAAAAATATATATAGCACATAATCTTGTCATCTACCATTACACAAACGTGCAAGATCATATCTGAAAAAACAAACTAGACTACGAAAAGTGCTGTGATTCTATAATTCCTATCTACCCAGGGACACCAGGGACAATGATTCAGACTCTGGAGAGGATATTCTCTCCTGTTATTTACATGTTATTTAAATAATTATAATTTTTTTAAAAAATAACAAGATAGATTAATATGATATATTATTTCACAAACATGCAAGTTTAAATATTTAAAATAACTATTTGATGTCATATAAGAAATAAGGTTATATACAAGGTTATCCTCTCGAAGAGTTTAAAAGTCCATTCTCATCTACCTAGCTCATTGCTGATTCTAAACCTATCTCAAATGGTCAGTGAAAGCTTGACTAATTACTCAAGAAAAAGATAATTTACAACTCATTGTCATTGCATGTTTCCCTTGGACTTACTGAGCATAATCCCTCCAGACCGGATACCAAAACAGGCTCTCTTCACAGACAACCGCACAGAACCTCCCATCGTACCATGCACCACTGCCATCATTTGCCTCCTGGTACATCCTTCTGACACGGTAGATCGTCTCCAGCTCCCCCGTCTTGGGATCGTAGTAACCCAGCGACTGCTCCGTGTTGAGCAGGATGCGCCCGCTCGTCGGGTCGACGCCCATCACCGTCGTCTTCTCCGACGTGTACTCCGGCGAGTACCCGGCGAGCTCGATGCGGTACACCATGGACCAGACGGCGGTGCCGGCGCCCTGCTGCATTGCCCACACGTCTATGGCGTTCGCGTCGCGGTCCGAGCACGCCACGCAGAGCGCGCCGTGGAGCCGGAGGACGGAGACGCGGCCGCACGGTGGCATCGGCGGCCCCCGCACGACGTCGTAGTGGTGGCGCGCGACGGCGTTGCGGCAGTCGAGCGCCACCAGCTCGCACGCCGACGTCGGCGGCGTCGTCGTGGTGGCGGATGCAGGGCCGAGCGCTGGGTCGACCAGCCAGTAGATCTGCCGTTGGCGTACGCCGGCGTCGCGGAGGCCACCGGCCGCCGCGGCGGCGGGATTGGTTGGGGAGACCACTCCCGCCGTTTGACGTAGCGCATGCGGCATTGCAGCTTGTAGCTCCGCGTCTCCGGGTTGTTCTCCGTGTAGGCGAGGCGCACCACCACGTGGTCGCCTACCTCCTCGTCGTACCCCAGCGCGATGCGGCCGTAGAAGATGTCGTCGTCGCCGTCGTCGTCATAGTCGTCGTCGCTTTCGATTAGTGGAAGTTCCTCGTGGTAGTCCATGATGGGGTTGCAGACGAAATCGAGGACGTCGGAGAAGCTGCCGACGTTGAGGCCATGGCAGGGCTGGGAGCAGACGAACGGCTTGGGGGAGATGTCTGGCTCGTGAATCTCGTCAGTGTGACGATCAATGTCGGCGGGTACACCGCCGACGGGGTCCATGACGAACCTGATCCGCGGTCTTCTCGCCGCCATGTTGGCGTGGACGGCGTGCGAGCGGATGAAGCGGTCGGTGGTGACCATGGCGCGCCACGCCTTGCACACGACGCTGAGCTCCGACACCGTCCTCGCCGGCAGCCACTTGAGGACGTCGGACCAAGCCCTGGTCGCCGGCGACGAGAAGACGATCTCCTCGACGGTGCGGCCCACGGGCACGAGGCTCTCCTCGTACAGGCCTAGCGCCGGTAACTGCGTGTCCTCGAACTCGCCGGCGGTGGCCTCGTGCTCGTCCGGCCGGAACAGGATCTCCGGTGCGCCGCCGCCGCAGGCGGCGGCGTCCACGGCGAACACCACGCTTCGCCCCGTCCGCATCAAGATCTTCTCCCCGTACATGCATAGCGGCACGATCGAGCGCGAAGGCCATGGGATCGGGTCGATGCAGCAGAGCTTCTCCCACCGCGCCGCCGTCTCGTCGCCGCCACCGTGCCGCCGGAGCAGCCATAGACGACAAGGCCCATGGCCATCGCTTCCACAAGCATATTGGCACACGCATAAGCACCCGTCCAGCTCCGTCATCCTCTCCCTTATCCGCCAATCCGCCACACCGTACACCGCCGCCGCCAACGGCGGCGGCGCCGGCAGCGAGCCGAAGCTCTCATCGGCGACGTTGAAACTGACCATACCACCACCGTCACTGCAGAGGAAGTGCACGGACCTGTCCAAGAACACGCCGGTGTTCTCGACGATGCACGCCGGAGGCGGCTTCCCGGCGGCAGGTCTCCAGTACGCCGGCGAGTCGAGGACGAACACCTCGCATCTTGTCGCCGTCTCCTCGTAGTGGCCCTCGCTGAACATGCGGACGACCTTGAACTCCTTCGCCGCCGAGCAGTAACCGAGGCCGTACGCGACGTTGCGGTAGTACGGTGGCCCGGGTCCCAACGACGGCCGGAACGTCGCCTTCGACGGCAGCTCGGTGTCGGGGAGGGCGAGCGCCTCGCCGCCGGTGGAAGGGTTGCAGACGTAGACGCCGTTCCTGCCGTAGCACATGACCAAGACGAGGCCACGGAGAGGCTTGGTGAGAGGAGCAGGCAACACGTCGCCGAACTCGCCGCCGCGCACGAGCTCCCTCCCAGGGCCGCCGCCGAGCTGCAGATCGTACAGGCACCACTGATCGGCGAGCATAAGCTTGTCGTCGCAAGGGCAGCAGAAGAGCTTGGGCGGCGCCGTCGTGTTGGCTCGCCGGAGGTGGAGGTCGACGAAGGACGGCGACGAGAGCTCGGCGCGCCACGAGCGCGACATGGCGCGGAGCCGGGCGGCCGACCTGGCCGGCAGGCGGGAGAAGATCTCCAGGAGGACGTCCTCCGGCAGCGACTCCATTGTTGGAGATGAGGTGGATCAACGATTCAACTCGTCACGTGTGGCACCGTACGGCGCGACGTGACACGACTTATGCAGACAGGACGCGAGCGAATCTGTTTACGGAATCGCTAATGCTCTGTTGACAGAGAATAGAGTGCTAAATCTTTTACTTTTTTTTCACCATTCATCTCTGCTTATAATTCGTGCTGCATTTGGATTGAGCAAAGTCAGACACGGCTGTGGACTTTGAGATAGACCGGGCTTTTGTTGTTGCGTTCTGTGGACTTTGTTGTTGCGTTCTGTGGGTCCCACATATTTACCGTTCAATTTCGAAACACACATCTGCTTTTTTCCTTGCATTTTAGCAGTGTTTTCTACTGCTACTTTGTTTACGATCCACGCTTACTAATTACATCGTGCTTATATTATAATTACATATGTAATTTTATGACTTACATCATAAATACACTAAAATTACATATATGAACTTACAATATAAATATATGCTAACTTTTTTTTAATAGTTACTCCCTAAATTTAAATAGATGAGATTAAATTTAGCTGTTAGATGTTTATCCTATGGCTTGAAAAATCTATATGATAGGAGGCTAAAAAATCTGTTGCACGATTAGGCAGTTCCGTCTGTTTAGGACACTTGGTAGCATAATAATACGAGGACGTCGTGGCGAGAACGGAACAAACGATTTCCAATGCACAAAGTGGGTTGGAGTTTTAATCAGCGACGTGCGAGGGTCAATTTTTTAGGTTAATTTAAAATCTCCCAAGTTCTGATTACGTACGTGCTTATACAAAGAGAGTTATATGGCTGATGAGAATTCACGATTCGATCGGGCGGGATTTCGTATTTTTTCGATTTTCAAGCGATCCGAGAGTTTTAATCTCCCTAGCAATGGCAGAGGGCGTATATATCCGAGAGTTTCTTGGCAACTCAGAGAACTCAACAGGGCTGACCAGATACTGCCTGTTCGATTGTTCGTCCGTGATTTAATTACTGGAGCATGCATTATCTCGACGAAGCTTTGGTTGGTACGCGTACTGAATCTACCTGCAACGACGGACATTGAGACTGCGTGTCAGCGTGTGGATGCCTTTTTTTTTCCTGTACTGTATTTCCTATATTGAGGGATTAGAGATTAATCTTTTACGTCAAATTGGACGGTGCATACATTTTTCTTCCTTTTCTATTTTTTATTGTTTATTTTTGCGAGAGAGTTCAGTAACGATGATGAACGTAACTGATTAACTGAACCTCATTGAGCGTGCAACGAGCAGAGAAGATAAAGTTTCTCGACAATCTTGAGATGAAGGTTAAAAGTGATTAGTGCCTGTCTCCTCCAGCGCAGACTATTATACTATACCTTCGACATAATTACAAAGCCTCAACAATTCCAGCCTGTTCTGTAATCAGAGCCACACACATAAGAACATTTCACCTCTGTGCTCAGAAATATATCGATCGAATGCTCAGTCGAGCCTCTGCATTCCATTCCTTTGAGCTGTTGCAGTAATGTGTCGAACTTTTTGGCAATGCAGAAATTCAGACAATCTCCCCTTCAATTCAAGGCTGCAACCAAACTACAAATCGACTCAACCATTTCTCCTTTTTTTTTTAGCGAGAGAGCACCTTCAAGACGTCTGCATGAGTTGCGATGAGAATTCAGACGAACTCACGGTTAGTTCTGACATGATCGGCCTTTTTTCGGTTTTCTCAAGCGGGGGCAGGGAGGGATCGGAGTTTTGATGTGCGAGTCCGACCCGCGATGTGGACTTTTTCTTCCGTCGTATTTTCGGGGGAGGAGAGGGGTTCGGAGTTTTCTTCGCCGAGAGATGCTTCCGGCGCGGCACACGCCTAGCCACAGCTGCTCCCGGCCCGCGCGTCGGGCAACACCATGGCCGACGCCGTCCTCGACACCGCGAGCATGCAGGCCACGTACACGTCGCGGATCCGTGCAAGCAACCGCGTCGGGGAAAGCCAGGGGCGGAACAAAATGAGGGGTTCCACTCGCTTGTTTTACTCTTGTCTGAATCAAATTTAACTTGATACGTATGTCTAACTTTAAACTGATGGGGGTATATATATGGTGAAAAAAGATAAACTATAGCTATAACCGGGTTCCTGGACATCCCCCTAGCTAGCTATACATAGCTCCGCCCCTAGGGAAAGGAGTGCCTATGTCACGTCACCTGCACGCAGACATGGAGCAGCCGTCACAGCCTCCACCCATGGTGCACACCGAGCTGCTGTGTCGCCCCCACTCCTCCCTTCTCAGTTCTCAACCTCAGCGAGTTGACGCAGGAGCGGTCGAGATAGAGCTCGACCACGTAAGAGATGGGCACGAATGGGTAGAGGAAGGCGAGGCCGCGAGCCGCGAGGAAGAGGAGGAGCGCCTATGTCACGTCACCTGCACGCAGATATGGAGCAGCCGTCACAGCCTCCACCCATGGTGCACACCGAGCTGCTGTGTCGCCCCCACTCCTCCCTTCTCAGTTCTCAACCTCAGCGGGTTGACGCGGGAGCGGTCGAGACATAGCTCGACCACGCAGGAGATGGGCACGAATGGGTAGAGGAAGGCGAGGCCGCGAGCCGCGAGGAAGAGGAGGAGCGGGAGCGTGCGGCCAGCGGACGAGAACGGGGACGGGGACGAAGAGAGCGTCGGCGGACACCCTGACCAGCTGACCTCGAGAAGGTGCTGACGTGGACACCTGACATATGGGGCCCACGCTGACTCAGCCATCACGTCGGATAAAATTGGGGTCAAAACCACCGAAGAACCTAAAGTGAACGGTTTTGTAAGTTGAGAGATGTCACCGGTTTTACGGTTAGGGGATGATTTTGTAACTCAATGACCGGTTGAGAGACCTTTGGTGTACTTTTTCCAAAAAATGAATTGCGGTTATTTTTGGTACGAATAAGTCCATTTTGCCTCCCTCATCTCTTGCCAATCACCTCCTTTAACCGCAAAACCATGTATAATACCTCCCTTATCTATCAAAACCAGTGCAAATTAACTCCTATGGTGGTTTAGAAAGCGGTTTCTACAGATGGGGCCCACATGTCAGTGAGATAGGAAAAATATATAGTGGGCCCCACATGTCAGGTCTTTCTCCTTCCCCCACCTCTCCCTCCCCCTCTTCTCTCCCTCTCTCTCTTTCATCCCCTTCCTGCCGATCCTGTGACTAAGGCTAGGCGCGCGCCACGCAGCCACCACTGGGGCACGCTTCCTCGTCGCCGGCTCGCCGCCCCCGTCCCTCTTCGAGGCTCGCGCTCCGGGACCTCACCATTAGGCCATTCTCTCCTACCGCTCCGGCGCTCCCTCCCAATGATAAGCAGCATCAACAGGGATGCCAGGAAGAAGACGCACCTGGGCACATGCTGCTGCACGCCGTCGCCCTCGCCCTCGCCCTCGGCGGCCTCAGCATCTATGCTGTGTGCAAGTACCACACCGAGGCTGACATCCCCAACCTCTACTTGCTTCACTCCTGGATTGGCATTGTCACCATCTTCCTCTATGTGCTCCACCATTGGTGGCCTGCGGCATCATAGTAACCGCCATCGTCGCCCTCCCAGGGTCCGACTCGTCACCATCGCTGACTCGCCCTGCCTCGTTCTCGCGCGGCCGCCGACGAGCTTCTCCTCCGCAGCCAACCATCCTCCCGCGGTCCCGCCCGTCGGTCCCTCCCCTGCCTTGTGCTTGCACGGCCGCCAACGAGCTTCTCCTCCGCAGCCGGCCATCCTTCCGCCCGTCAGTCCCTCTCCTACCTCTTGCTCGCTCGGGCGCTTACGAGCTTCTCCTCCTCCGCTGGTCATCATCCTACCTGTCGTTCCCTCCCTTGCATCGTGCTTGCTCGGCTTCGCGTCCTCCTCCCCGAAACTTGACGGCTCTTGGACGAACGACCGCACGAAGACGCCTGTCTTGGACGCCGACCCTGCCACTGACATCGATGCCGATGGAATCCCTGCGTGCATAGCCGCAGCCACGGGGTCGGCGGAGAGGGACGACATAAGAGAGGAGGAGGGAGAGGTAGGGTCGTGGGGAAGGAGAAAGACCTGACATGTGGGGCCCACTGTATATTTTCCTATCTCACTGACATGTGGGCCCCACCTTTAGAAACGCTTTCTAAACCACCATAGGAGTTAATTTGCACCGGTTTTGATAGATAAGGGAGGTATTATACCCGGTTTTGCGGTTAAGGGAGGCGATTCAATCAACGGAAAGAGATGAGGGAGGCAAAATGGACTTATTTATTTTTGGTATGGGTCAGCCCAACTGCTACTACAACAGAGCCATCTCGTCTCGATCAGGCCCAACACCGCCACTCCGTCTCCCCTGCTCCCCTCTGCCGGCCTGCCGCCGACGTACGCCGGGGCGCCGCGGCTTCCTTGCGCCGCCGAGGTTTGGATCGCGCCATCGACTCACTGCGGCTAGCCGGGGCAGTCGCCCTCGCCGTCTGGCCCGCGGAGGCGTGGCCGCCTTCCACGCGCGGTCGGAGAGGCACCACTACTCGAGCGGCGAGGCAGGCAAGGCTTCACGCGTCAAGGCTGCCGCCGTCGCGGTTCACCGGCCAACAGCACGTCGTCCTCGGGCGCGGCTCGCCTCCTCTCTTCCTGCGCCCCAGCCAGCCAGGAGGGCCAGAGTCCGGCGAGCCCGTCGGTGCCCGTGCTGAAGAAAAGGTTCGCCCGTGGGGTGTTTGTCGAAATGTCGCTCCGACAGCTGCTTCTCCAAGCGCGGCGCTTCGCGTCTCGGCCGCCGCCGCCGCTCTCGAATATGCTCGTTCTCTGCCGAGGCATTTCTGACCGCGGACACAAAGCCTTGCCTTCGGCGCCGCCTCGCCACTCCACCGGGCAAATCCAGATGCCGCAAACTTTCCATTGCTCAAATGCCAACCCCCTTGGCAATCGCTTCCAAATTGACGTGGTCGACTCCGACCTCTGGCCCGCATCCTTCGACCTGTCCATGGACCATGCACCGAAAACTGGGTGCCCTGATGATTTTCAAGAACATGAGGATGGAGAAATGCATGACTCTGAAGATGAGATAGATGACATGAGGCACCGTAAGAAGCTGTTTTACAAGTTGGACAGGGGTTCCAAGGAGTTTGAGGAGAACAATGTGTCCTTGCGCCACAGGCGGAAGAGAGAAAAAGGCAATGTAAAGAATCCAAAGGAATCCAAGAAGGTGGATCCTGATGAATCCGCTTCTGTGAAGCTCCCAAAGCTGAAAACGAAGTATACAGTGCGTGAGGAGGATGTGGTTGAGGCAAAGAGGGATCGGGTGCCAACATTTAACCAGATGACGGATCCTTACCACCACCCTTTCTGTCTGGACATACATGTCACCAAGGGGTCCGTTCGTGCTTGCTTTGTGCACCGAGTGAGCAGCAGGGTTGTCACAGTCGCGCACTCCATATCAAAGGACATGAAGTTTGATGTCGGTTCAAGGAAAGGTATGAAGGCGTGTGCAGCGGTTGGGGCATTGCTTGCAAAACGTGCAATAGAGGATGATATTCACAATGCGATTTATACACCAAGGAAAGGAGATAGGATTGAAGGGAAGATTGAGGTTGTGCTGCGTGCAATTATTGATAATGGGGTTGAAGTTAAGGTGAAACTCAAGCAAAGGAAGCCAACAAAGGTATTATTTGATCCTGTACTATGTACTATAATTTTATTTTTTTTATTTGATGACACTCAGGTTAAGTAAAGATTAATGTTATTTTTTCTATACGCCTTGTAGTTTTCTTATACTTTATATTGTGTCACATATATAGGAACAGTTCTAATTTTAAAATAATGGTTTGATATTCAAGTGTGTTGCTGTATAAGGAACTAGCATTTTACAGTCATTAAACCATGGAGATATAGAATTGAAGAAAGGCAGTTGCTTACTGAAATTCAGTTTGTGAGCTTCTTAATGAACCACATTGATAAATCTGCACTTGTGAATATAATGTTCTATCGCCTAATTATATTATTTTCTGATGTTTCTTTAAACATGAAAAACGATTTAGGTGCCCAATGGTTCATTCTTGATCTGGCAGTCGTTGTATTCTGTCCTCTCTGACAGGAACGGAAGGGAAGGAAACTTCCCTCTATTTTCAGTAAACCATGAAACCATGATTCATGAGCATTGACCTGCATTTGTCTTGCACTGACGACCACTTTGGTTCGTTGGAATTCATGAATTTTTTAAAATGTCATTCCAGCTCCTTATCAAACTATCTGTAATTCTATATATTTAAATACCTTGTTGGAGCTGGGTTTTTCTTTTGTTCATCCACTGAACTGAAGGGTGGCTTCTGAGGGAACTGCAGTAACGCAAAATCATTTTCATGTGTTCATGGCACTTGTATTGGTTTAGGGACCGAACTATTATAACTTTAGAAGTATTTCTTGTTGCAAATTCATAATCTCACTATGATGGCTTTAGTTTTGTCAAATGCTTCATTTAGATACATGGCATAGGTAAGCAAGGTGACCAGGATGCTGTGCTACTACTAAACTAATTCCCTTGTCTTATATCCAATACTGGTTGCTTCTGTAGTTGCCTTTGGCAAAGCTTGCGCATTTTGATATGGTTCCTCCTTAGCATGTACGTGTGATATGACACGTGTCAAGGATCGACGTTCAATCATTATTCAGAGTTCAAATTCCGTTATGTCAACACCATTTCTATCTTCCAAGTGCTGAAATTGCTAGACCTAACTATTTTGACTTTGACTTGCAGAATGCACTGGCTATGCAGCATTCTCAATCTCACTGATGGCTAAACTATTCATCCGCATGACTCCTACTAGAAATGCTCAGAAGTCATGAGAGTTTCTGTTACTACATGGACTGGAAGTCTGGAAGAGCTGGTGCTGCTGGGGCACCACCCTCTGTGTGCAAACTTTGGGTCAACACTTTTTTGTCATAAGAAGGTAGAACCAGCTCTACCTTATAGCCATTTCATTTGATATAAATGGACGGTTACAAAATTACATGAGTAGAAGAAGAGAGGGAGAGAAAAAAAAAAGGAAAAGGAAAAAGGAGAGGGAGAAATAGAATGTGCAAACGTTTAAAACTCAATACTCAATAGCCAGTTAGTTCTCAGCCATCAGTAACTTCAAATAGAAGGGGCCTAAGTCTTCAGGTGGGTGCTCTGAATGGCAAAACACTGTCCTCAGTTGATCTTTTGGTTAGGATTTGTGGAACCGGAGAGAGTAATAGATGGAACATCAGCTCAAACTGGGATGGGCATCCAGTCACACTTCGAGTTCATCAGAGATTTGTGGATCAAGCTCTTCTACCAGGAACATTATCCTGCAGCCTGAAGTCATATCTCATACAAAAGTAGAGAATTTAAGTACGGTGGTTCAGCCAGGTTAACGAACGAAGCCGGATATCACAAGAGCCGCATACAGGCAAGGCTTTGTTGCAGCATACAAGGACATGTTGGTGCTCAAGAATCTGCTGAAGCAAATAACAACCTTGCAAAGAGGTGCAAACGGTGCTACTGCTACTGAAGCCTGACTATGACTCTTTCGTGGAAGAAACAATTCTGGAACAAGAACTTTCGTGTGCATATTTTTGATATTATTATTTTCCTTCAATTGAAATATCTATTTTGCCCTTTCCCTCCATTAAAGCTGAGATATAATCAAATGGCGGTCCTATGGCTCATGCCGGCCCAGACCAGTTGATCGTCGATACCTTAATTCTAATGGAATGATCGAACACGGGCTTGTTGGCTTATCAGCCGCAACTAGAATTTTAAATTTGAGAAAATTTCACAAAACTACATATATTGTGACTAAACTACATAAGTTTTTCTTTATTGTAGTTTATTCTTCAACATTAGTTTTTAAATCGTTAAGGACACGTTTTGTGTTTATGAATTATTTTTTTGCTTCGTTTATATTTCAACGGCTTATCAATCATAGAGCAAACGATAAGAGGTTGTTCAAGCAATGCTGATGTGAAAGTTTCTAAGAAAATCATAGTTTTAAAAGAGTGGCCAAAATAATATGTGCCTCCTAGCTGTTTAAAACACACCTGTAGGAGGAAGTCGATTTTGTGCAACCCGTTGCCAATCCAACCTTTATGTACCACATCCCTCATGCATCAAGATTCGTATGCCCATTTAAACCACTCGCCAAGATTCATGTGCCTCATGAACATGGAACATACCATCTCATTGTAGCCTATAGATGTTAGGCATGATAATGGACACAAGCAGTGTTTAGGGAAATTCTGTTCAAGGGACTATTTTTAATGGATACTACAAAGGGACTATTTTTAATAGATACCACAGAAACGAAAATCTTGAAAGTGCACTACACTAGTCCTCGAATAAAATCTACAGGGATATTGCAACAAAATTAAGATGATCTAGCCTCAGATAAAAAATGTGCCAGATATATCAAATAAACAAATATGTTGATGAAATCCTACGAGTTAGGAATCTTCGTTTCTCTCACGCATTCAACCAACCTTAGGAAACCTTAGCAAATGAGAACCAAACAATCACACCACCGTCTATCCATTTTGGAATCCCCGAACAATATCTCCACTACCACTACGAGGAGAACCCGCAGCCACAACCTAAATGTTCCACACCGACAACAAGATGCTCATCACAGATGATTCTGTGCAAACATTTTCTAACATCTATTGGACCTCACGCCACCACTACAACCACCATAAAATCAAAATACATATGGAATACATACTCCCAACATAAATCTCGATGGACAGCCGATGCCATAGAGAATGGATGGGGCTGCAAACAGTTGGTACTCCTTATTTCTACCTATATGAACATGTCACTCAGCTTAAGAAAAATGTATATTCATGTAATCATGTCCTAACATTCGCAACAATTATGTTTCTTTTCAAGTCCTGAAAAGAACATGTTACTCTCCCCAATAGGCGTCGCCGGCGCCGCAAACTCGCCATGCCGCTCGCCACGCTGCTCGGCCACCTCGCCGCCGGCCGCTTCGGCCTCGTGCAGGCGCTCACCGGCGCCGCGACCGCGGCGGCCGCGCACCGACTCCTCCACCTCCTCCTCCGCACAGCGCCGCCGCCTCCCCTCCCGGACCTCGTCTCCCTCGCGCGGTGGTCGCGCGCCCACTTCCGCGCGCCGCTCCCGCTCCGGCTCCACGGGCTCCTCCTCGCCCGCCTCGCCTCCAAGGGGCTCTACCCCCTCCTCCGCTCCGAGCTCCACGTCCTCGCCGCGGCGCGCCTCCACTCCCCCGCATCCATCCTCCGCGCTCTCCCCTCCCCGTCCGCGTCCGCGTCCGCATCCACGCCGCTCATCGCCGACATGCTCGTCCTCGCCCTCGCCAGGGCATCCCAGCCCCTCAGGGCGTACGACGCGTTCCTCCTCGCCGGGGAGAGCCACCCGCGGCACCGCCCCTCCACCTCCTCCGTGAACGCCCTTCTCGCCGGCCTCGTCGGCGCCAAGCGGGTCGACCTCGCCGAGAAGGCGTTCAGGAGCGCGCTGCGGCGGCGCGTGTCACCGGACATCTACACCTTCAACACCGTCATCTCCGGCCTCTGCAGGATCGGCCAGCTCCGCAAAGCCGGCGATGTCGCCAAGGACATCAAGGCATGGGGTCTGGCTCCCTCTGTGGCCACCTACAATAGCCTCATCGATGGGTACTGCAAGAAGGGTGGAGCTGGGAACATGTACCATGTCGACATGCTTTTGAAGGAGATGGTCGAAGCCGGGATCTCACCGACTGCAGTTACATTTGGTGTGTTGATCAATGGGTATTGCAAGAACTCGAATACTGCGGCCGCAGTGAGAGTCTTCGAGGAGATGAAGCAGCAGGGGATCGCTGCGAGTGTCGTGACGTATAATTCGCTAATTTCAGGTCTCTGCAGTGAGGGTAAGGTGGAGGAAGGGGTGAAGCTGATGGAGGAGATGGAGGATTTGGGGCTGTCACCCAATGAAATCACCTTTGGCTGTGTTCTGAAAGGGTTTTGTAAGAAGGGAATGATGGCAGATGCCAATGATTGGATTGATGGTATGACAGAGAGGAATGTGGAACCTGATGTGGTTATTTACAATATCTTGATCGATGTGTATCGCCGTCTTGGAAAAATGGAGGATGCAATGGCGGTGAAGGAGGCAATGGCAAAGAAGGGGATCAGTCCCAATGTCACAACATATAATTGCTTGATAACAGGGTTTAGCCGCAGTGGGGATTGGAGGAGTGCTTCTGGCCTTCTGGATGAGATGAAGGAGAAAGGTATTGAAGCAGACGTCGTCACTTACAATGTGCTTATTGGTGCTTTGTGCTGCAAAGGTGAGGTACGGAAAGCTGTAAAGCTCTTGGATGAAATGTCGGAAGTTGGATTGGAACCAAACCATCTGACCTACAATACCATAATACAGGGGTTCTGTGATAAGGGTAACATTAAGTCTGCCTATGAAATTAGAACCAGGATGGAAAAATGTCGGAAACGGGCAAATGTGGTTACGTACAATGTGTTCATCAAGTATTTCTGCCAGATAGGGAAGATGGATGAAGCTAATGATCTACTCAATGAGATGTTGGACAAATGTCTAGTTCCAAACGGGATCACTTATGAAACGATAAAAGAGGGGATGATGGAAAAAGGCTATACACCAGATATTAGAGGGTGCACTGTCTCACAAGCTTCTGAAAACCCAGCATCATCCTGAGAAGTATGGTATGCTCTCATATTAATATAGCTTTCCACTACTTGGTTATTCATAGGATTGATACAATGAAATGTTGAATTGTTTTCTAAGTGAGAAATGACGCTCCTTACTTTTTTAGGTTCTCTTAGTTTTGGTCTGGTAATTCTTTACTTTGTGATTATTGTAGGAATCTATGACCTTCATCAAGCAAGCATTCGCAATTGGAAGTAAATGAAACAATGCTGGCAAACTGGAGTACCTGATTGTGCTCATAATGGAGATGGTCAGCTAGTATTCACCATGGCTTTTGAAGATGGGCCTGGCCCCTTGATTCTGGCCAATTGAGCATCTAGTCTAGGTAAGACTAACGTACCAAAGTAACTGCAGATAGTTAACGGTCTCTTGTGTAAATTTCTTATCCCATCTATTGTTAATGCCCATACAAATGACAGAAGAGATTGCAATCTCAGCAATAGCAATGTCCTCACCTGTTACGAATGGATTAGAGTTAACATCTCTGTACGAATGATTCGAAAAAAAAACAGCTTATATGAAATATTGAAATGCAATAGGGCATATTTATTTGATCAAACCATCAACGTATCCCATCAACGGACCAGATCATGGTGCAATAGACATCCAAATCGATATCAATCCCTTAAAGCATGAGCTGAAATATGCTGGGTAGATAAGCAGATGAGTTATTGGGCAACCTGTTTTTAGGGTGTGTTTGGTTGCAAGCCACACTTTGCCACAGTTTGCCACGCCTAAGATTAGGCAAATTTGACAGGTGTTTGGTTGTAGCCACAGTTGTGGCAAGATTCCCCTCCAACAAATTGGGTCCCACGTGTCAATGGCTCAAAAAAGTGTGGCAAGATTCTCTTAGGCTTAGTAAGTTGTGGCTAACAATTTGATCACCTCACCTTAGACAAAGTGTGGCAACTTTTGTTGGCAAGTAATGGTAAAGTGTGGCTGGGAACCAAACAGCCCCTTACTGATTTGTTCGAGAGTAACCCAACAGGGGTGGCTGGGTGCACTTGTGCAGGATTTGATCACGTTTAATTTGGACTCTCGGCCGTCAAAAGTTGTAACCCGTTCCGTGTTGTCTTCTCCTCTGTTTCGTCCAGGTATCAAACACGGGCTAAGTATTAGTACTATTTATTAAGGATTGATCAAATACCGGACGACATCACACGAGCACAACAATGGCGGTCGAGCACAAGAAAGCCGTTGGCTCGGTTTGGTTACCCGACGACGTCTTCTTCAGTATCCTCTCCTACCTGCCGGCCAAGCCGGTGGCTCGCTTCCGCTCTGTGTCGCATTCATGGCGCGACATGCTCTCGTCGGCGCCTTTCGTCCAGCTCCATCTCCGGCGAGCCAATAGGCCAGGCCAGCTTAAGGTCTTCTTCCACACGGGCTTGCCGGTGGACAACGATCTCCCCGACAAGCACTTCTACTACACTTGGCAGCAGGACGGTGGTCCGGCCAAGAAGCTCATGCGCCATGGCTTCTCCGGAGGGTTTTCTCGGATCACCAAGCCTCTCCATGGCCTCGTTCTGTTGTTCCTCTTCCACTCCTATGGCCGCGGCTTCTTCGTGCTCAACCCTTGTACCAATGCACTCCTCACTCTTCCTGACACCAAGTATCCATTGAAGAACAACCGTCACCTTGGAACAAATTTGTCCGGGAAATACCGATCACCGGGGTACATGTACTGGTCGTACGGACTCGGCTACTGCTCGGCCACCGGCGAGTACAAGGTCGTCCGGCTGTTCAGTCTACCGTATGACCCTGAGGCGGCGGCGACATTCTGTGAGGTCTTCGTCCTCGACGCGCCGGCGTACTGGAGACCTACCGCCCAGCAGCCGCCGGCGCCGGCCGACCACAACGTCAAGGTAATGGTGACGGACCCGCCGGTGTTCTTGAACGGATTATTCTACTTCCTCTGCCGTGACGGCTTGGACGTCATCACCTTGGACGTCGGCGACGAGACGTTCGGTTCACCGCCGCCGCTGCCGGTCGCGAACATGGCCTTGGATCGGAACAGTAAGCTCACCCTGACGGAGCTCGATGGCTGCTTGTGCTCGTACTATCGAGAGGCATGTAGCATGCGCAGCTACGTGTTATGGCTGCTACGAGATGGCGATCACGAGGCGGCGCGGTGGGAGCAACTCTGCCGCGTCGACACGGAGGCTTGGCCGGATCCTCCGTGGAGCATTGCTCCCCTCACCATGCTTGACGGGGCGAGAAGAAGATCATCTTCAAGACAGATAAATGCGTTGTGCTCGGCGTGGACCTCAACGGCAGTGGCACCAGTGCAACGCCGCCGGAGATTCTGCTCAATCCGGAGGACGCCGTCGCAACGGCGGCGGAGACTCATCTCTCACCGGAGACCACCACAGCCACCTGCAGGTTCAGGAGTGAGTATCCACCAGAGCTAAGCCTATTCGAGGAGAGCCTCGTGCCCTTGGGCCGCACCTTGGAGGAGATCGTCTTCTCGTCGCCGGCGACAAGGGCTTGGTCGGAGGTCCTCAAGTTGCTGCCGGCGAGGACGGTGTCGGATCTCAGCCTCGTGTGCAGGGAGTGGCGCGCCATGGTCACCACGAACCGCTTCATCCGATCGCATGCCGTCCACTCCAACCTGATCGCCACACACCCCCGGATCAAGCTCGTCGTCGACACCCCTCGCGACTACCTCGACGCCTCCGGATTCGCCGATCTTGACGACCTGATAATCTCCGGAAACCGGCCAAGAATGTGTACTTCTACTTCGTTCATCTGTTCGCCGCCATGCCATGGGCTCAACCTGGGGACCTTCCGTAGGACGAACTACCTGTTCAACCCCTGCACCGGTTACCAAGTTGAGCTATGCCCTCCTGACTACGACTACGACGACAGAGTGTTCGACGGCGTCATGGCGCTCGGCTACGACGCGGCGACCGGCGCGCACTTGGCGGTCCATCTCGACTGCTGGAACTTCGAGACGCGGGCCTACGAGCTGCGGTGCCGGACACAGCTCGTCGGTGGCCACGAGGTATGGAAGCCTGCAGAATCTCCGCCAAGGGCCGCGGACATGGAGGTGCCGGCGGCCTATGCTAACGGGAAAATCTACTGGGTGGTGGACCGTAAATTCGGGCCGCAGCCGAGCTCCACCGCCGCGGCGGCGTGCGAGCTCCTGGTGTTCGACATGGAAGCTCGCAAGTTCGAGGTCATCCAAGGCCCACCATGCCGTCTCCCACGGTTCAATTTCGGTCCTATCGGACCCCCCGGAGAAAGGGACCCAAAGAAATACCAAAAAAGGGTCGTTCGAAACAAATACCGAAAACGAAAGATTGAACCCTGCCATCGCCATGGCGAGAGCAGGATAACCCTCCTTGAGCTCCATGGCGCTCTCTGCGTAGCCTGCTCGGACCCGGCCACCGACGCGATCGACATGTGGATGGTGAAAGACGACGGTGCTTGGTCCGTGGAGTATCGTCTAGAGATCGGCGAGCTCTCGCCGGAGTACTCGTTGGAGACGACCTCGCCGATGGCCATTGATCCGGTGGATGGCCGCATTCTGCTCAACACGGGCACGTCGCTGGGCTACTACGACCCCAAGACAAGGGCGTTGGAGACGATCTACAGTGTTGATATTCGACATGACAATGAGGGACTCAGGTACAGGTTCTGTCCCGTTATCTGCCAAGAAAGCCTCGTCTGCCCTCTCCCTGGGAAATACTAATTAATCTACAAAGTTTGGAGTACATGTGATGTGTGCAGCTCCTAATTTTATCATTTGGGAGCCATTTTGTCTCATTTATTATGCAAAATAAATACTGTTTAGGCGGGATTGTCTGTCTTATACTCCACTTAAAAAGGTTTTCTCCCGTTCCAAAAAGTATTCTCTCCCAAAATAACTCAACTAAAGTTTATCTGCCTCTTAAGCCAAATTAATCTTATAGAAAGTAGAGTAGGATTAAAAATTCATCTTCGTATATATTCTCGAGATTTCCCTAAATCTTTCAGAGGTAGTGCTACTAAGTTTGGTTGGGAGGTATATACCTAATGCATTTCCGTCCTAATGTCACGTGTTATATATGCATCCCTATATTATCCAACTTGTAGTTTTGTGATTTTTCCTCTAGAAGCTTCACTTTATTTCCTTTCTCATCTACTATACATATACATTGGTGGAATGGGCCCTATTGGGCTGAAATACACACGCCTACACTCAACACTCCCCCCTCAAGATGGGCGATAAATATCTATCATGCCCATCTTGCTACACGAAGAAGTGCACTCTCTAGCACCTAATGCCTTCGTTAAACTATCAACTACTTGTTCACCAGAGTTTACAAAGCCTAAGTTTAAGGTTCCCTCATCCATTCTCTCTTTAATAAAGAAGCGATCTATTTCCACATGCTTCGTTCGATCATGCTGGACTGGATTGTTAGCAATATTTATGGCTGATTTGTTGTCACACCACAACTTCATGGAAGTGCTTGTCGACAGCTTCAATTCAGCCAAAAGATTTTTCAACCATAACAATTCACTCAAGCTCATCGACATTGACCTGTATTCCGCCTCAGCAGTCGAGCGAGACACAACTGATTCTTTCTTGCTCCTCCAAGATACCAAATTGCCACCAATAAATACACAGTAGCCTGATGTTGACCTCCTATCATCAAGACAACTGCCCCAATCTGCATCACAATATCCCTCCATATCTAGGTGTCCATTCTTCTTGAACCATATGCCTTTACCTGGGCTTGCCTTCAAATATCTCAAAATTCTATACACAACATCCATGTGACCACTTCTAGGATCATGCATGTATCGGCTCACCACACTCACAGCATAAGTTATATCAGGTCTTGTGTGACACAAATATATCAACCTTCCCACAAGTCTTTGATATCTCTCTTTATTAACTGGATCTCCAGATTCAGCACATAACTTATGATTTTGTTCAATTAGTGTAGAAGCTGGCCGACATCCAAGCATACCTGTATCACTGAGCAGATCCAATACATACTTTCGCTGTGAAAGAACTATTCCTCTAGGAGATCTTGCAATTTCAATACCCAAAAAATATTTTAATTGGCCCAGATCCTTGACCTCAAACTCCTTGCTTAGATTTTGTTTCAACCTAGATATCTCCAAGCAATCATCTCCAGTGATAATCATGTCATCAACATACACAACAAGAATAGTTTTAAGACCTCTATTATGGCGATAGAAAACTGTGTGGTCTCCATTGCACTGTTTATAACCCATACCACACATTGCACGTCTAAAGCGATCAAACCATGCTCTTGGTGATTGTTTAAGGCCATATAAAGATTTTTTCAGTCTCAACACTTTACCTTCAGTTTGTGAGGTAGCAAATCCAGGTGGAATTTCCATATACACCTCCTCTTGAAGATCTCCATGTAAGAATGCATTCTTGACATCTAACTGATGCAATGGCCAATCAAAATTAGCTGCACAAGAGATAAGAGTTCTTACCGTGCTCATCTTTGCTACTGGTGCAAAAGTTTCATCATAATCAATTCCATATGTTTGACTATATCCCTTAGCCACAAGC